ACACGTATCAAATCTTGCAAAGATTGCATAAAATCACGATTCCGTAAGGTTGAGGTAATTTGAGATCGTTCCCGGCGCCAAAATAGCAGGTTTCATTTTTCCTCATTGACTACGTCTCGAAAATGACCTAACCTCACCTGACCTTTGGTAAAAATCTGAGATATACAGGTTGTGAGATTCCTAATGGATACTAGGTCCTGAAAGGTTCATCTCTTTGTGAAATTTTCCTCTGGCAGTGAGGGCGCTTCGAGGTTGCGACATCTGAAGACCGGCAGAGGTTTAGGTACTTATGATGTCATAGTTCAGCAACCTGACCTGACCCGAAAATGCGGTTGGTGTCAGAAGGTCTGGCTTGAATCAAGGTCAGGTTTGCCAATTTTCAGCTCTCCATCGCTAGCGTCTTCGGAGCTATCGAGAAAAAATCTTATGGCCGTCCCCCCTCGGCCGGCGAGGCTTAGTTCTCGCCCCGTAGGGGGGGGGGGGGCGAAACGGCCCCCCCCCTGTACTTTTCCGTAGATATCTCCCAAAACGGCTGGAGATATCGTCAGTCGTCACCAAACTTTCAGGACTCCTCCGGGCATCAATTTACAGCATCAATTTAAACATTGTGACAAAAATTTCTAGAGACTTTGGTAAGTTGGCGGCAAATGACGTCAGAATGACGTCATGTTCTTGTATTTTCGACACAAAAAAGGCTTCGCGGGAAGAGCTGTCAGCTCTACAGCTTTCAAGATACATAACAATGTTCAAGACATAAAAGGTGTAGAATGAACTGGGCTACAAAAGTGCAATCTCCGATTTTTGAAATTTAGGGATTTTGACCGCCGAAAATCAAAAAAAATATTTTTTTTGATATATTAGCCAAAAAAATATCCAAAAAGTTTTTTTTTTGAATTAAAAAAAACGAAATATACATGTGATAGTCCATATCGTGTTCTATCTACATACCGAATTAGAGATCGATACCTCTTTTTTAGCAAAGTTATAACGAAAAAACTATTCAAAATTGATGACGTCAAATTTTTAAAATCAATTTTTAGCAATTCTAGACCATGTAGCGCAAAACAAAGACCACCATTAGACTCCCCGTGCTGAGCTGCATCGAATCTTTACCCATTTTATGTAAAATATCAAGTTTAAAATTGACCTAATTTGACCTGACCTTTTTTATAAATTAAGTTCAAATGTTTGAATGGACGGATTAACAGAGCCGTAGCCCACGCTAAGCAGAGCTTGTTGCGTAGACCCCGACCCCTACCCTACCGTCCGATCGCGCAATTCCTGGTAACGGGAGAATTAAGATGTCAAAGTTTAACGTGTCCTTCAAAGCCGGAAACGGCCTCAATGTTCCACTCAACTGACTTCAGCTGGCTGCGGATGCTCCCACCAACCGCAGACCATACCCGTCAGGAGTCTCAAATATCGAGCGCCGGAGCGTCTCTAACCCGGGCTCTCACTACCGGGAGTCCGGTGCTCTACCAACTGAGCTACGGGACAGGCTCCTTCACCTTGAGCTGACCTACCTTGACCTGACCTTGACCTGACCTTCACCAAAATATAACCTAAACTGGTCCTAAAGGCTGCCTGACCAACATAATCGCATTTGTCATGTAAAATGGACCATAAAACATGTATCACACTATACTTTTGTATTCTGGCTCTCAGTGACCTGACCTCTGTGACCTGACCGGGTATTAGTGACCTCAAATAGCAGGATATGTGTTTGACGGACAGTTCCCAATCAATGATTTTCAATGGCATTCCTTTTTACCCGATTTTACAATGCATTTCTTGAAATGCCTGTAAACGGTGAAAATTCGACCCTTGACCTGACATGTGACGTCATCGGTTAGGCCGAGGTCAATGAAATTAGGTCACAAGGTAGGTCCTTGGTAGGGCTATCCAACGCCGTTTGAATTTTGAAAATCAGCCGGTAACTTTCCGAGGCCTTAGGGGGGTGGGGCGAAATGCCCCCCCCCCCCCCAGCTACGTGTGGTAGGATCCGCCGATAGCCCTACGGGGCGCGGGCGATCCTAGCACACCCTGAACCAATCTGACAGATTGGCTAATGGCTACGTAAGTGGACATTCCCAATAGCACATCAGTGAACACATCGCGTTGGAGGCCGAAATTCCAACTCCCTCATGGCTGGGGCCCTGGGCTGAGCCCGGAACTTTTGGAACACTCCTGGTAGGTATATCGCATATCGTTATCTAGCCTAGCCGTTACCGTTAGCTGTATGTATAGTCACATTTTTCAATTTTCATTACTCGAGTTTGACCCATGGCCATTGTATGAATGCACAGCAATGTCGAATGCAGGTATATTATCAATATGACGTCATACGGAGCTGTTCTTGCATCTGCATTCCGATGCTATATGATACATATAAATATTTATGACCTTGCAAGGCCACTCCAAGGCCTTGGAGTTTGCCTGTTGTTTCGGATATCCGTATCAAAACACAGGCATTTCAAGAGCAAGTATGTATTGTGGCAACATTTCAAAGGACGCCTCTTAGCGGGTGTCCGAATAGCGAAAATACTTCAAAGATCTTATATTCAAACATCAAAATAGGGGAGAGTCCGGAGCCACCGCGGCTCGTCTGGGCGGCGGAAAGCAGATACCGCCGCGCACTGGGGCAGCCGGGGTGCCGACCAGCGCCGGGCAGTGGTGGCGGGCTACCGGACCCCCTCCCCCTCGTGACGGCAGGTCACCACTGGGGGATGGGGGAGGCACCAACCGACGGGTCACGCCACCAACCGCCGCGCTGACAGCACCTAGAGGCGCGAAATGTGCACTGCAGTGCAGCCAAGCGGGAGCAGTGCGCCTATGTCAATGAAGTGACGCCGTAAGTCACCGGGTGGTCAAGTGACAGATCAGTGATACCAGGTGTCAGCGGCTAAATTGGCGTGACCAATTTTTATTATCTACTGTTGCCATGATGCTTCCAAACGAAAAAAATGTTTCGTTCCTCAAAAGCTCTAAATGCCTGTAAACAAACGCAGTTTACAGCTAGTGCATGAGATCCGCGACTAACAATTACAGGAGAGTAAGAATGAGTTGCGGACACCACCAGCACTGAACTGGCAAGGCATGGAGCGTCTCGACGGAGGAGCACTCACCTAGAGGGTCCCGTGTGCTACCCACCGGTGTCTCTCGCCCAGCCAATGGTACAGAGGGACGGAACGGTGCGCTGGAAAAGGGCGCCTGTGCTCCGGCCTAGACAGGTCGTGCTGTGCGCTCTGCCTTAGCGTACCCCGGCCGGACAGGCCACAGCAGACCTGGCCTGACCGACCATCCCGGAACCAAAACAACGTGCAACCAACACCAACATTTGCACTGTGCAGTGCGCACCATTTCGGACACAGGGCATAGCAGGTAACCAGACAAACCGCCGCTCTGCTCGCCACGTACACGCCCGAGCTCAAACGCTGCTCGCTAGGAAAGCTCCTGGACCAAAAGTGACGAGTCATTGTCCAGATAAGCTCTCACGAAAATCGCGCACCGCCAACAGCAGATAACACGTACCAAAGCACGGGGCGCCATACCCGGCGGGCTGGCGTATTCGCCCACAACAATAACACACGCGTGAGGAAACACAACACATAATTGAGCAGGCGATATTCGAGTAGAATCCCTATTTTACCGTTTAATTATCAGAATTATTTATCGTTAAATAAATTAAATATATTTTCAGTCGTGTAGGCATTTCAGTTGAAGGAAATATATCACTTTGAACGTGGGGTCTGAACTGAAATACCTAGCATTCCTGTAGCTTGAGCTGAGACTAGCACAAATCAGAACCTTTGACGGTCAAACGATATTAAGCAACGATACTAAGCAAAGATATTCCCTTTCTCGTTTCCGAAATCAAACACAGGAATGCGGTGCCTTACGGAAGAATGCCAAGAACGCAGCCACCTATGGCAGAGGCCGACGTCGACCAATTGGCATGAAGTTGGTTTTGAACTAGGTACGCAATACCTATGATTGGTCAACGTGTGCTACGCTACCGCTGCAAGCACTGTTTGGCCTCTACCAAATATGGAAATTGTTGTTCCTGTTTAAAAAATACTTTAAAAATTCCTTTGCATATATTATCCATTTCTTTTTGATCATTTTAAGCATAAAAATCATAAAACTGTAGCAAAGCCTTATTTGAGGACAGTGGTAGGTATATTTCCTTTGCGTGTTAGAAATGCTAAGCGTAAAGTAACTGGCTCCATAATAAAATTTCCCAACCCAACGAATGTGGTCCAAGCCAATCGTGCAATTAAGTGAGGAGTAAAATGTGATATTTCTATGCTTGATTTAAGTAGAACATGCTATCTGATAAATAATAGCACGATTTTGAGGCTGATATACACGCATCCCAGATATCGCATGATCGGATAGCACGCGACATTTACACGACTGAAGCCTAATGTGCCATCATTCATGATCACTGATCAGTTTAAGCGATAGACAATGGACATCACCTGAAGTGTGAGATCTGACACGTCGACAGCGGCATTAAAAGTGTAAAAACTGTGCGAAACACCAACCGGTAGGTCACACAGCACAATCCAATCGGCTGAGAACGCCGCCATTTGAGCCCAGCACACACTCGACTACACGTGCAGCGAGCCGGCCTGATATATAAAAACAGGTATTAGTCGCCCGCAGGTCTCGCCTAGTTTCTGTCCTTACACACGTGCTGGTTCACTGAGATTTAACTGATACTGCATTTATCACCACCGTCGGTCATCCTATCACCCAACCCTTGTAATCAGTCATGAACACTGCAGTATAAACTGAATGAAACTGGGAAGTGGGAACCAAATTGCAAACAATATCTGCACAGCATTTGGAGCAATTCATTGACCTGGATGTTTTAGTTAATTCCCTCATCCATGCAGTAATCCACACTTTGCCTAATTTTTGATAGATGCTGTGGGTCGTTAATAAATTTTTCAGGGTATTTACTATCACTATCGGCGACCAGATGAAAAGTAAAATTCCCCATATTGCCATAAACATTTGATTAACTCGCATAGATTCAATACACTTCAAAAATTACCATTCATAACGTATTGACCGCAATATTGGGTAAATTACTGATACATGAATCTCATACACCGCTGGAGATGTAAAAAGCGACCCCCCACGCATATAGAGGTCGTCAAAGCGTCCACAGGTCATACCATGCACGCGGCTGACACACAGTCATATCACTAACCCCTCTGCGAGATAAATTTCCGGCTGCCAGCCGCATCTGTACTCCCAAAATAGAGGGCGCCGGCTGCCGTGGCGAGAGGTGCTTGACGGCTCGGTGTCGCCTATCGCCTGAGACGGGGGCCGTCTAGAGTCGCAGTGCCGCCCATTGCCTGCGACGGCGCCGCTCAGTGCTCGCAGAGGACGTGCCACCGGCAGATTTGTACACCGCGCGCGGCGCGCAGGTCGGACCAGTGCGCACGCTCCTCGGCGCCCGAGCTGTTGTAGCCGAGCGCGAACCAGCCGATCAGTTCCCGCTTCTTCATGTTGCGTTTGTTGTAGACGCTCACCATCAGTGTCACTTCGCAGAGCTGAAAGAGCGGCACCTGACCGGACAGAGTCGGGGGGGGGGGAGGGGAGACTCTGTGTCAGCTGGGCCGGCTACCGCTGTGTGCCGCTGCCACAACACTGCTGCCTGATACAGACCACCGAGGAAACGTTGCACCCCTGGGAACCGGTGCTCATGATGCCTTTTGTTATGTCTTATAACTTGTAATACATTGGTCACAAATCTTTGCCTTTCGAAGGACCATAGCCAAGAGGGTCCCTATGGCGAAGGTAGCCGGCCTCTAAGGCAGGTGGACCTTCCTGCTAGCCCTTCTCTCGTCGACATACGGGTAATACTATTCCGTCTGATTTTTTCTCACAAGTGCCTATCTAGAACACGTAGACGAATCGGAACTAAAAGCTCGTACAACTCGTAAAAAATAAAGGATGCAAGATCTTTATGGACAGTTGCACGAGACACGAACATGTTTCCGTGAAGCTTTTGCTCGATCGTGGGCTAAAAGTGATGGGAGTTCTCTTCCCCCTGTGCAGTGTCGAATAACACAGAATGGACATTTCTGACTAAGTGAATCAAATAATACGGTTCATAGTGTGTCAGAACACGTCGACCGGAGTAGGATCTAAAATATCCCGATAGCAGTGTGACCGACCTGGAACATAAACGTCTCTTTGTAGAGCGGGTTGGGCTGGCCTCTCCTGACGGACGTCTTGCTCCTGGCCAGCTCCTGGCCGCTGCTGCTCAGCAGGTGCATTCGCACGTAGGTGTCGGGCGCTCTGCCGCCGCAGCTCGACCTGCCGGTCAGCGGAGCGGCTGAGTGGCTGCAGCCCACCGCCCGGCCCCGCTAGCAGACGTGTGCGGACCGGCAGAGCCCAGTCGATCCCACACCGTCCGCCAGGGTCGGCCGTCCAGCCCCCACGGCCAGCGCACCGCAGGCTCAGCGCGAATCGACGCACGCCGCGTCAATACTGAACGTTCGCTGATTTTTCGTTATGAGCGCGGCGTATTCCGTAGCGGGCTCGATATTTCAGCATGCCCGGCTCCGTAATTGCTACTAGGAGGTTGCCCTCCACCAGGTCAAGCGATCGATGATTGAAAAAAAATGAGACAGAGAGCGAGAGAGAAAATGTGAGAGAGTGTGTGTATTGGAGAGAGAGAGAGAGAGAGAGAGAGAGAGAGAGAGAGAGAGAGAGAGAGAGAGAGAGAGAGAGAGAGAGAGAGAGAGAGAGAGAGAGAGAGAGAGAGAGAGAGAGAGAGAGAGAGAGAGAGAGAGAGAGAGAGAGAGAGAGAGAGAGAGGTCACAGAATCCCTACTGATGTTCCCGTCGTCCGCCCTAGATAATCTTGCCGATTAGATGTCATCCTCGCCAGCCCAGAACTTACACAGGTGAGTGCCTGATTTCCTGCCTAGCCAGTTGTAAAAGACTAGGTTACGAGTCTACCAAGTGCCTAGCCAGTAGTTAAGCTGACCATCCTGCCTATCCAGTGGTATAGGTGACCAGCCTGCCTATCCAGTAGTATAGGTGATCAGCCTGCCTAGCCAGTAGTCAGCCGGAGCCGACTCGGGTGAGTGACCGGGCGGTGTGCCCGCGCCGTCCGTACACCGCTACACAGGCAGCGACGCCGCTGGTCGGCTATTGATCTGGCCAGGCTAGGTGAGCGGGCCGGCGCGTCACTACACCGGGGGCCCGCGCCGCTGCCGGCGGCCGGCGGCCGGAGCCGCGGCGGCCCGGCCAGCGGACGCCCCACCCACATAGGCAGAACCGAGCCGGCAACAGTTCACTGGTCACTCCAACACTGCACAGACATCTTCTAGCCATGCATCCCGCGAGAACCCAATATCACCTGTAATCTCTGGTACATATATACTCGTGTCACGTTCTGTAACATGCAGTTTCCTCGTGAAAAAATGTGCGGGGCGTTCCAGACGGAGAACAATATCGCTTATTCACTACTTACAGTTGGACCATAATATGTCCCAGCGACACCATGCACCATTCTGACCTGCACTGCGAGCAGACCTCTGGTCCCATACTGACCTGAACATGGAGCCGAGTCTCGCACTGACCTGAACTGGGAATTGAGACACACACTGACCTGAACTGGGAGCTGAGTCCCGCACTGACCTGAACTGGGAGCCCTTGATGAGCTCGGCGGCCAGCCGTCCGGTGGCGGCGCTGTACTGGAGGCCCAGCAGCAGCTCGGGCAGCCCGCCGCGGTGGATGCTCTGCGTGCTGCTGGTGCTCTCACTCCGAGACAGCGAGCTGACGTCCCCCGTACTGCCCCTGGGTGCCACCTGCACCAGCCACCGCGGTCAGACGGGGTCACATGGGTCAGACCGGGTCACATGGGTCAGACCGGGTCACATGGGTCAGACCGGGTCACATGGGTCAGACCGGGTCACATGGGTCAGACCGGGTCACATGGCTCAGACCGGATCACATGGGTCACACGGGTCACCGGCGTCAGACAGGGCCACATGGGTCACACGAGCCACCGCGGTCAGACCGGGCCACATGGGTCACACGAGCCACCGCGGTCAGACCGGGCCACATGGGTCAGACTGGGTCACATGGGGCAGACTGGGTCACATGGCATGGCTCAGACCGGGTCACATGGCTCAGACTGGGTCACATGGGTCACATGGGTCACATGGGTCAGACCGGGTTACAAGGCTCAGACTGGGTCACATGGGTCAGACTGGGTCACCCGGCTCAAACTGTGTCACATGGGTCACATGGGTCACACGGGTCACATCAAAAACATTAATTAAGACCAATCAAGCGCACTTTTCACCTGGCTGTGCTGTTGATCCTCGTAGCAGTCACGGAGACCCGCGGTGATGCCGTCCCCCCTTCCCCCCGCTCGCCCGATGGCGGCGCTTACGGTGATGCTGGCGCGCGGCTGCAGCACTAGCCACTGCGGCGTCTGCTGCTCCATGTTAGCCGATGTGAGCGGCACGACGGCCTCTCCGATCATCCGCTCCCGCCGGAGCCGCTCACAGCCGTACAGGCGCAGCCGCACACCCACCGACGGCAGGTCGTCTGCGGGCCGGCCGGCCGGTCAGTGACACAGCAGACCACCACCGGCCGGCCGGTCAGTGACACAGCAGACCACCACCGGCCGGCCGGTCAGTGACACAGCAGACCACCACCGGCCGGCCGGTCAGTGACACAGCACAGGTCACCGGCCGGCCGGTCAGTGACACAGCAGACCACCACCGGCCGGCCGGTCAGTGACACAGCAGACCCAGCATCACCGGCCGGCCGGTCAGTGACACAGCAGACCACCACCGGCCGGCCGGTCAGTGACACAGCAGACCACCACCGGCCGGCCGGTCAGTGACACAGCAGACCACCACCGGCCGGCCGGTCAGTGACACAGCAGACCACCACCGGCCGGTCGGTCAGTGACACAGCAGACCATCACCGGCCGGCGGTCAGTGACACAGCAGACCACCACCGGCCGGCCGGTCAGTGACACAGCAGACCACCACCGGCCGGCCGGTCAGTGACACGTAGACCACCACCGGCCGGCCGGTCAGTGACACGTAGACCACCACCGGCCTCCCGGTCAGTGACACAGCAGATCACCACCGGCCGGCGGTCAGTGACACAGCAGACCACCACCGGCCGGCGGGTTAGTGACACAGCAGACCACCACCGGCCGGCCGGTCAGTGACACAGCAGACCACCACCGGCCGGCCGGTCAGTGACACGTAGACCACCACCGGCCGGCCGGTCAGTGACACAGCAGATCACCACCGGCCGGCGGGTTAGTGACACAGCAGACCACCACCGGCCGGCCGGTCAGTGACACAGCAGACCATCACCGGCCGGCCGGTCAGTGACACAGCAGACCACCACCGGCCGGCCGGTCAGTGACACAGCAGACCACCACCGGCCGGCCGGTCAGTGACACAGCACAGGTCACCGGCCGGCCGGTCAGTGACACAGCAGACCACCACCGGCCGGCCGGTCAGTGACACAGCAGACCACCACCGGCCGGCCGGTCAGTGACACAGCAGACCACCACCGGCCGGCCGGTCAGTGACACAGCAGACCACCACCGGCCGGCCGGTCAGTGACACAGCAGACCACCACCGGCCGGCCGGTCAGTGACACAGCAGACCACCACCGGCCGGTCGGTCAGTGACACAGCAGACACAGCATCACCGGCCGGCCGGTCAGTGACACAGCAGACCACCACCGGCCGGTCAGTGACACAGCAGACCACCACCGGCCGGCCGGTCAGTGACACAGCAGACCACCACCGGCCGGCCGGTCAGTGACACAGCAGACCACCACCGGCCGGCCGGTCAGTGACACAGCAGACCATCACCGGCCGGCCGGTCAGTGACACAGCACAGGTCACCGGCCGGCCGGTCAGTGACACAGCAGACCATCACCGGCCGGCGGTCAGTGACACAGCACAGGTCACCGGCCGGCCGGTCAGTGACACAGCAGACCACCACCGGCCGGCCGGTCAGTGACACAGCAGACCACCACCGGCCGGCCGGTCAGTGACACAGCAGACCACCACCGGCCGGCCGGTCATTGACACAGCAGACCATCACCGGCCGGCGGTCAGTGACACAGCAGACCATCACCGGCCGGCCGGTCAGTGACACAGCAGACCACCACCGGCCGGCCGGTCAGTGACACAGCAGACCACCACCGGCCGGCCGGTCAGTGACACAGCAGACCATCACCGGCCGGCCGGTCAGTGACACAGCAGACCACCACCGGCCGGCCGGTCAGTGACAGCAGACCATCACCGGCCGGCCGGTCAGTGACACAGCACAGGTCACCGGTCAACAACGTAGCGCAGGTCACCAGCGGTCAGTGACACAACACCGCTCAGTCAGTGTCACATATCATTATTGAGTTTTATTTTCTTTTAGCAGGGTGAAGCGAGCAAGGGGTGCATTTCTCTAACTTACCCCGTCTTCATAGTGCTAGCAGGGGCTTCTTTGTGACTTTATAGATACTCACATCCGACATCGCCTTTTTCAACGTATGGAATCCACCAAAAATATAAACCACCGAATAACGGTAGGTTTATTGGAACTGCCTAATTGAATATGTTAGATGATCAATGATCATTGCATTAGCTATGCTGCTCTAGGTAGGGCAAATTATTCAACACCAGGAATTAAAGTCAGCCTTTTTTAAGCCAATAAAGCGCTATCTTGGTATCTAAATGCATCTCTTGGCCATTCCTTTTACGTAGCCAACACTGCTTACCTGGATTGACCTTGTTAAATACGAACGCCTCGTTGAATTGCGGCCTGTCGCTGGGCTGCACGCGACTTTTGAGCCTCTGCTTCTTCCCGGGTAAAAGGACAAGCCGCACCTAAAACAGTTAAATATGTCTGTAAGCTATCTTTTGTGGGACAGTCAGAACTTCTTCTTACCTAAATTTGCATTTTTACTTGAATGTACATTTATACATATTTGCATTTGAATTTGTACTTGTAGTTTATTTAGCACCGTCCATATGCACATTACCCAGTGATAGACAGAGTCAAATGAAGTAAGAAATCCCTACAGAGCCGGTCCGACCCTGCAGGTGACTTTCATTCAGTCTGTGTGTATGCGTGTCTGTGAGAGGCCACTGACCTGAGCACTGCTGGCTCCTCCCCGGTCCCTGCTGGGCACATCGCGAGCCTGGAACACCTGCACGGTCAGCTTGCGCGTGGGGTAGTCGTAGGCGAAGGCGACCTCGAGGGCGCCGCAGCGCGAGCCGCAGCCGTCCAAATCCAGGTCGGCAACGTCAAAGAGCCGCTCCTGGGGAGAGGTGCAGAAGCCCGGTGAGCGCTGCGCGGTGACGCAGTCGCTGGATGTACGGCTGCACATCGCTCCATGGACCGAACTCATCCCGTCTAACAACAAATCAACCTCAGCAGGCCCAGCGAAAATACAGCAGCAAAACTCGTGCCGGTCAATTCACCCGCTAGGGATACGTGTACTGTTATATAGTGTAACGCCCCTTTCAGCATTGCCACTCCAAATCAGTAATAAACTGACAAACATCGGACAAACGGTGGCGCGCTCCAAAGCTATCGGTTGCCGTTGCCCAGCTCCGGAGGGGTCGCCGCCGCGGCCTCGAGTGTCCTCGGACGGGCAGTAAACCGGAGCTGAGCACGCCGAGAGCACGCCCGCGCCGCCCGGCCGGGCCGTAACGTGCCGCGGCCGCGGGGGCCGGCGCCGGCCGGTGTCTCCGAGCCTCTCGACGGCCGACTACGACCAGCCGCACCCTGCGAGCCGCTCGTTACAGCTCCCCGGAGTGGGTGGCAGGCGCGGCCAATTGGAGTGCAGCTGGAGGTGGCGGCGGCGGTACAGCGCTACGGGACAGGCGTGGCGAATAGTGACGATTCAGCATTCGGATGTTCCACAGACCGGCTGATCCATGCTACAGCACCAGGTATGGTCGACAGCAGCCAAAATTATGCGCAAACCCGATGGTTGCGAGGACTCTGTTTCTAATTATTACATATTACCTATTATACATACTCGCATCCCACACAAAGCAACAGATATTGATCGGCGCGTCTAATCCTCATCAGTATTTCGAATCCTCCCAATAGATGTCACTATTGACAAGCGCCTGAAGGTATGCTGTGCCGCAGCGCTCATCCACACCAGCATTTCAAATCCTGTCACTAGCCGTCACTAAACACGAGCGCCTGAATACATGCTGTGCCGCAGCCTTCATCCACACCAGCACTTCAAATCCTGTCACTAGATGTCACTAGTAAAAAGCGCCTGAACATATGCTGTGCCGCATCCTTCATCCGCACCAGCACTTCAAATTCTGTCACTAGATGTCACTAGTAAAGAGCGCCTGAACATATGCTGTGCCGCAGCGCTCATTCACACCAGCACTTCGTCCTGTCACTAGATGCCACTAGTACACAGCGCCTGAACATATGCTGTGCCGCAGCGCTCATCCACACCAGCACTTCAAGTCCTGTCACTAGATGTCACTAGTAACAAGCGCCTAAACGCATGCTGTGCCGCAGCCTTCATCCACACCAACACTTCAAATCCTGTCACTAGATGTCATTGTACTGAACACATGCTTGTGCCGCAGCGTTCATCCAACCCAGCACTTCAAATCCTGTCACCAGATGTCACTAGCAACGAGCGCCTGTACACATGCTGTGCCGCAGCGCTGGTTCTATAGTTATACCTCGCGGCAGAGCGCACGACGCAGCGCAGTTGCACGAACTGTCAACAATATCCGATGCATACGAGAATATTCGATAAATTGCATTCCAACTCTAGTCGGAAAAATGCATGGGACGTAAAAGAAATAATCACGTTAGTTGACAAAACGAAACCATCCACAATATGCGAATTTAAGGTGCTAGATTCAGTCGAACAATCAAACATTACATATGTACTTGCAAAACAGCACACATTTCATCTCACGAGTAGTTATATAGAATATATTGGAAGTGAACCATGATGGAATTTTTACGCATGGTTTAGTGAATAACATCATTGCAATATTATTGCAACCAGCATTATTGTCGATAAAAGCGTCAAAGGGAAAATATCGATATCGCCCGTCCTGAGCACTGGCGGATGGGCGCGTGCCGGGCCGTGTCTCACCTCTGTGCTGTCTGCCGGGCCTGTCTCACCCCTGTGCTACTCGTCTCTCACCTCTGTGCTGGCGGGCGGCGGCTCGTGCGCCGGCGAGCCGCTCAGACTGCGCGGCGCGCGCGCCGGCAGCGCCCGGTACCGGCGCACGTCGCGCTGCCGCAGCGCCGAGGCCAGCTCGTCCTCGCCCGAGGTAGTCGAGGACGAGGACGAGGACGTGCCGCCGCCGACCTTGCCCCGCTCGGCCAGGCTGAGGTCGGTGCGCGCCGCCTGCAGCCCCGCGCCTGCCGGCCAGAGACGGCCGCGTGTCAGAGGGGCCAGCGTCCGCTGCACGGGGTGTGGGACGACTGGCACTGCTAGCTGTCTGCTATCGGAGGGACTAGGGCTGTACATTGGAAGGAGGCCGAGGGCGGGGAGTGGATGCCTGATGGAGCTGTCTGCTGTCGCGGTCCTTCCGCAGTGGTAGGCTGTGGCCCGTATAAACACTGGCAGCGTCCCTCAGTGGCTGTCATTAGCGGCGTGATTTACAGGCCTTGTGTCAGAGTTTCGATTAGCCGGGAGCAAACACTGCCCAGTCTTGTCAGACTTCCGGCGCCTGCAGTTAATCTGAAGAAGCAGAGTTATTTCGGATTAGCCATGACTCTGGAAAATGTATGACATGAATGGAGCTGTGCTACCACATCTGTCATGAGTCAAAGTTGCATGGAAGCTTAGTTGTTATAAAAATGATATGAATAAATACGCAATAGCAAAAATGCTGTGGAGGTACAAATGGTAGCTAACTAAATCAATTAAACCGAAAAATATGCAGCCTGTACGTTTTCGACATAACACATGAAAAACGTTACCGAGCAGTTTAGTTGTTTTGCAACCAATTCATTGTAGGAAGAATTTAATTCATCTGTTCATACAATTCATTCATTTTTTAGACTGTTGGACAGATTCCCAGAGCCGGCGATAGAAGCCGACAACTGGGAATCACGTGTCTGTCGGCTGACTGGCCATGCCCCCTCACCGCCCCCCCCCCGCCGGAGCTCCGACTGACCGGCCACACCCCTGCCGGGGGCGCCGGGTGACCCCTCCCCCTGCCGGGGGCGCGGGCCCGGGCAGACAGAGTCTGGGCTGTGTACAGAGCCCGGGTCGAATCACTGGGGAGCCGCCGCCGCGGCCGGGCTGGCCAGCGTCCGGCTCCTTTGAGTCGCACCAGACCGGCCCGGTCCTGACCCTGTCACACCCGGGCTGCAGACATTTCGGCCAGCCGGACAGCCCTGTGAGCCCTTCCGGGCCGGCCCGGACCGCTGGCGGGGGCAGTAGGCTGGCGAGGATACCGCCAGATCGCTGCTATTCACACCTGCTACAATCAGACACAATGCCTAGTGGTCGGCAGTGATGTCGGTGGGTGATTTTACCGGCATGATGGTCAGTTGAATGGACCTTACCGGACAAACAAACAAACCGAGATTGGCCTTCCAGGCTTGCACTGTGCCCCAGAAAGGCCTGTCGCGCCGGTTCTCCATTGTCGGTGCTCCGGCCGGCGCGGTGACCGCATTCTCGCGATCTGGCATGTTTCCTGGGACTGGGCTCTATAAACAAGTCTCCAATCGTAGGATCACGTCCTGCTGCTGGCCGGCAGCAGAGCGCGCCGCACGGCCGCCGCGACTGACAGCCTGACTACGACGGAGGTGATGTGGGCCGGCGGTCGGTGGCGGACGCGCGCCACAGCCGCCAGCCGTCCAGCTCCGCGGAGCGGTCTCGTGACGTCACTGGACCACCCCGTCCGGGCCTGCAGGCCGCCACTTAGCAGATGAGGGTGCCGCCGAGGCCCCTGCAGCGACCGACGTCCCACTCTCATTTGCAATATATTTTGATAAGGTGACTTAGCACTGTGATGTCGCCTCTAAAACACAGTAAATGCGCGGCATATGCATAGATACTCGTAACACAAATTCATTCTGGTGTCTTTGTGTTTGAAATTGAACGTTTCTACAGTATTGCAACTTCAAGACACTTTGATATTAAAATGATAATAATATTTTCAGGCTTCTGCTTAACCGGCGCACCGACGGGGGGGCATCCGCCATCCTGAGTTTTTCGTAAATAGCGGAATAACTGCGGCGCAAAGCGCTGAGCTATTTGGTATGACTATTCCCACATCAATTTTGCACATGGTATGCACTGTGAAAGTTTGAGCCTCTTACCGTTCAAGGTCAGGTCACCAGGCTACCTTGAATAACCCGACCTCAAATCACCTTTTTTGGAACTTTTCACCATGTCAGAGCAGTAAATGACCGAATTATTTGCAAATTGTAGGATGTAATAAGATCATTGTTACCTAAAATTTGTATGTCTCGGAATTTTGATACGATGGCCTAAAGTCGATATTTATCGCCCTTATTATATAAGGTCGATAATCGATATTTTGACTTGCGAATTGACAAGAAGATTGAGATAGTATGTAGGTACTATTGGTTTTTGCCTAGCCTGCACCGGGCCGGGGGGCTGTTTCCGCATATGCCAAAAAAGACAGTTGTACCGTGTGGTATCGTGATCCTGTGTTGTGAAACTTTCCGTCATGCCGCGCCTGTGTGCGCCGGGCCCTACTCAGCGGCACCGGGCCGGCGCGGACCAATCGGCAGCCGCCACGACCGCGGCGACCCCGCCGAGCTGACCGGCGCGGCGGTCGGGTCAGGCAGTGCGCGCGGTGCGGCCGGTCGAGGCTGGACGTGTTTTCTTGGCGCTTATTTTTGAACTCTGTTTTCGTTACGTATTTCATTATTGTTCTTACGTTAAAATACTACATACCGGCAAACAGAACCGCACATGTGCAGGCCGCAGAGTACAGGTACTAGTTTTCAGCGCAGAGATCGAATCCATCATTGGCTCGCCACAGCGGAGTCGCTGTCGGCTGTTGCTGACCCAGGGCGCGGCGTTCCGTGGCACAGCGCGGCGAATATATTACACCTGGCGTGACGTCAATGCTACCTGAGTCGGACCGTGCATTATACACGCATTGATTTCCCGGCGTGTCCCGGGGACTGCGCGGCTCCTCGCTGCCGGGTCTTGTGTCTGAGTGTGTCGGTGTGTGTCGGTGTGTCGGTGTGTCGGTGTGTGCCGGTGTGTCGGTGTGTCGGCGTGTGCCGGTGTGTGTCGGTGGGTGTGTGTGAGTGTGTCAGTGTGTCTGTGTGTGTGTCGGTGTGTGTCGGTGTGTGTCGGTGTGTCGGTGTGTGTCGGTGTGTTGGTGTGTCTGTGTGTCGGTGTGTCGGTGTGGTGGTGTGTGTCGGTGTGTCGGTGTGGGTGTGTGTCGGTGTGTGTCGGTGTGTGGTGTGTGTCGGTGTGTGTCGGTGTGTCTGTGTGTGTGTCGGTGTGTGTCGGTGTGTCGGTGTGTGTCGGTGTGTTGGTGTGTCTGTGTGTCGGTGTGTCGGTGTGGTGGTGTGTGTCGGTGTGTCGGTGTGTGTCGGTGTGTGGTGTGTGTCGGTGTGTCGGTGTGTCTGAGTGTGTCTGAGTGTGTCTGAGTGTGTCTGTGTGTGTCGGTGTGTGTCGGTGTGTGTCGGTGTGTCGGTGTGTGTCGGTGTGTGTCGGTGTGTCGGTGTGTTGGTGTGTCGACTTTCTCATGGTGTCGGGCTGGAGGCGCGTCTGAGAGTCAGTCGCGCAGCCAGCTAAATATGTCAATCGGATACCAACTTTTTGGTGTAGGTACCGATACCAAACAGGCCCTCCTCGGTCAGGTGTGATGGATCCACCGCTACTTTGCGCGGTACTTTTAGGACAGACTGTACACCTGGACCGTGCTGAGCGGTCCCGGTCCTGGGTCCGGCCCAGGGACCAGCGCCGCCGTTACGTCGACTGTTCGGAGGCGGAGGCTGCTGCCAGTGGCCAGGCGGACGGCGGCTCCACCCAACTGGCGGCGCCCCACCGCCGGCGGCTCCGGAAGCGGCCATCGACCGTGCGCCGCGCGGCCGCACCTCGGGCCGCGGACACGGCGCCGCGGCTGGAGGACCATTTAATCAGCCGCGCTGGTTAGTAATTGACGAAGTCGCCGGAGGTCGCCGCGAGTGGGGCGCAGGGTCGATTTGGCTCCGCCTGGCCCGGCGGCAGCGGCGGGAGCAGAGCGGGAGAGGGGAAGAGCAAGAACCGGGAACCCGAATGGCGTCAGTGCAGCCATACAAAATGCAGTGGGCTTTGGCGATACGGACACATTTCATTATCGATGCTACCCTTGCCAATGTAAGACACCCCGATCTACATAAAACGCCAGGATGTATGTTGGGGCGCCCACTCCCCGGGCTGGGCTGTGTGTGGCCACTGCGTCGGTCCCGAGGCCGGGCCGCCCTCTCACCTGCGGCCGGCCGCTCGGCGCCGGCCGGCGGCGGCTGCAGGCTGAACTGGCGGTACAGGCTCGGCTTCTCGTAGCCAATGCCGCCGGCCATCGGGTTGGCGGCGTCCAGCGACTCTCCGCGCCGAGCCGTCGGCCGGCCCAGCGGCGCCGAGAGGCGCAGCTTCCGCACCAGCGCCTCGTCTGGCTCCGAGCAGCTGTCCTCGCCGTCATCTGCCGGAGACACGGGCGGCGGTCACACCCGACACAGGCGGCCGTGACACTCGGCTCTTGGTAGCGACACCCGGAGACACGCGCGGCGGTCACACCCGACACAGGCGGCCGTGACACACGGCTCTCGGTGGCGACACCCGGAGACACTGGGCGGCGACACCCGGAGACACTGCGTGGGCGGCGACACCCGGAGACACTGGGCGGCGAGACATGAGACACTGGGCGGCGAGACATGAGACACTACTGGCATATACTGCGACACCAGACTGCGAGACATGAGACACTAGGCGACGAGACGTAGAGATACTCAACAGCGACCTTCACAGCTCTTCGCGGATGTCTCCCCGACGTAATGGCAAACACTGACATGAATATGATGGCGTAATGACAAAATGGCAAACATGAGACCGGTTCCCGGGACCCCTGGGAGCGAGACTGTGCCGCAGTGCAGGAAGACTTGGAGCTGCCTCAGGGAGGAGGGAGTGAGCACTCGCGGAGCTGGCTGATAGTGGAGGCGAGGATGGAAAGGGGTAACTCACGGAGCTCGCTGCTGACGGGGAGAGTCAGCAGCTGGGGGCGAGGGGCGGGTCACTCACGGATCTCGCTGCTGACGGCGTGGTGGGCCGGCTTGGCCAGCAGCTCGTCACAGCAGCCGCCGCCCAGATCGTACAGACAGATCTTCTTGTTCATGTAGAGGAAGGCGAGCAGCAGCAGCAGCACCATGATGGCCACGGCGCCGAGAAACACGGTGGCCTCGGCCGGCACTGCCAAACAGCCGGAGACTGTCCGGTCAGCTGGAAATGCGGCGGGCGATGGCACACTTCACCGAAACTGGAATCCGCCGCCAGCTAAATACAATACACGCATACATGCAGATCAGGCCGGCACTGCGGTGAATGGTGAAAAGATATACCAGGTTTTGCCATCTCTATATCAATTGAAGTCAACAGCTTAAGTGAAAACTGAAAACCCAGCTCATCAGTTTCCCATGAACATTAAACAGTAACGGGTCTATACGAAATTATCATTTACAGTGCCTAAAAAAGCACAACAAGCATTGCGTTAGGAATTTAACACATGAATAATAATGACCTTCCTTTTACGACTGCACCCGCAGAACCGAGTGTCAACAGTCCACACTTTGCTCATTTCCTGTGGGCTTTATGCAGCAAGGGACGCAATAAGCGGGCGCCTGTCGCTGTCGAGACACATATCGAGCCCATCCATTGTGCGCTGTGTCGGCCGGCCGGCCGGCGGTGGCCGCTGACCGGGCCCGGTGGCGTGCGCCGGGCGGACCGCGTGCGCCCAGCCTCACCCCCAGCCGGTCGATCGGGGGCTGCGCCGTTTGGGCGGCCTCGCTCAAGGCCGCTGACAATCGACCGCGCACACTGATGATAAACTAAGGATACACCAGGAATTTCGCCGAGCTCTCATTTCCAGGACGAACCCTTCCGGCCATGTGTCCACGACAAAGGGAGAGCTCCTGGCTGACCAGCTGAAAGACCCCGGCCGCGGAGCACCAATACGGCACCCTGCCATTTTACACGTAATTTGGTCACGATTGCTCTAAAATTTTGCCAAAAGCCTCCCTGAAAAATTGATAGATATACATGAACCTCGTGTCAATAAAACTGCATCGGAACTTCGAGTCACTTTTTGGAATATCTAGAATCGAAAGACAGCATTGATCCTACAAATGACATATCAATTGGATGGTGTTTATGGCCGTTTGTTCCGCCCCTTTGAACTTTTACTCGAAATAAATATTATAACTGAGGTCAGTATTATCAACAGAAAAATAGCCGCCTGCCGGAATTTTTTGCCTGAAGACCGCTTCACATACGTAGCGTAAACGCGATGGGCACGTAAGCGGATAGGGCTTTACCGTTTACGCTCCATATGTGAAGCAGTCCTTAGGCAAAAAATTCCGGCAGGCGGCTATTTTTCTGTTGGTAAAACTGGTCTCTGAAAAAATAATAGGCACCACTAGATTTAAAAACGCGGCTAAAAAAAGGTAACCCGCGCCAGGCCGTTGCTCGGTGCCGACCGCGCCGGGCCGGGGGTGTCTGCACAGTGCACACCACCTCCCCCGTCTAATTCGGCTCCTGGGCCACGTACCGACACATGGTAAGTGGCATTCGAAAGTGCGCCCAAAAGCAGGACGAAGACACTTCGGTCATTTATCAGGTAAGGTCAATGGTGAGGTCACCGGAGGTCACCAAAGTTAAAATGTTTCCTGTTTCACCATTTTTTTTTTTAATGTCGGTGCGTAATTCGGAAACCGATAGAGCGACAGCGCTGCAGCAAGCCGCATTCGATAGCCCTTTTAAAGTTCTTTCTAGATTGTGTCTTCAGAATTGACCTCAGGTCAACGGCTTAGCCTCCAGAGGGCAAAAACTCCAAAAATAGTAGTTTTTATTAACCCGCGCCGGGCCGGGGGTGTTTTGAACATCCCCCTGCGTTTTTTCGCAGGTATCGCGCCGCCGTTTTTGGCACACCTGTTTATGCATCTTTTCCAAACATGTTGTGAAAATTTCAGACCCAGGGCTCTCAAGGTCAGGTCACCAGGTCAGGTCAAGTGACCTCACCTCAGAAAAAGTTTCAATTCTCGTCATAGCTACACCGATTGAACGATCGCCTTGAAACTTTCAGCGATTGATATGAGTAACAGTATGTACAAAATGTATACCTCGGAATTTTGATATCGGCGACCTAGGGTCAGGACAATTTTGCGGCCTCTCCATTAGGTATAATTGTCAATGGGAGAAAAGTGAAAAGCGTCTCTTTTGCACGAACGCCATTCTAGACACTCTCAACATCGGGATGCAGGTAAAATTGACACACTGCACTGGAAAATGTGTCCATTACGAGAAATCTGAATTATAGGTACCTTCAAGTTATGATTACTCGGAAGCTTGCTATAAAGCTACTTACTTTAACCCTCGCCGGACCTTTTGGTTTTCTACATACGCGCCGGCCGAGGGGAGGAAGGGGGGAGGGGGCGGGTACGACCCCCCCCCCCACGCCGATTCGCCCCTGGTGAAGCTAGCGCGTCCCGGAAAAAACGAGCGTGTGCGCCGTTACGAGACGCAGAGCTTGGTTCCCGACTTAAAGGTCCTAGGTCAACCGGAGACCTCTGAGGTCAAGTCAAGTGCCCTAAGGTACGGTTCAGTTTTTGGTGAATAACTTCGCAAAAAAACGGCCGCAGAGCCGCGATTTTGGCAGCATCGTGTTCGCCTCGCTCAGGCGCGCCGAATGATATACTTTTGTTTGGGTCAGGTCAACTTAGGGTGTTGACCTCAGGTCACGGTCAGGTCAGCGCCCCCAGGTCGATAGAGGTCATTTCGCATATCATTCGATCCGGCAGGTCTTCCTGAGTCCATTGGTGGCTTTCCCGACTCACTAGCTCAATTTGATCGGGAGTTATTGGCGAAAAACTAATATGACCTTGATGACGTCATAAATGACGTCACGCAAGGTCAACATTGCAAAAGTGACGCATCTTACCTTGCAAGGAGTGCATCAAATCACGATTCTGCGTGCTTGAGATAGTTGGAGATCGTTCCTGGCGCCAGAATAGCAGTTTTCATTTTCCCCCATTGACTTATAATGGTGAGGTCACGAAAATGACCTGACCTCATATGACCTTAAGGAAAAATCCGAGATATACAAGTTGTGAGGCTCGTAATGGATACTAGATCCTGCAAGTTTCATTTCCCTGTAATAGCTCCTCTGGCAGTGAGGGCGTTGCAAAGTTGCGACATCTTAAGACCGTGCAGAGGTTCACTTATGACGTCATAGGTCAGTGACCTGACCTGACCAAAAAATGCGGCTGGTGTCAAAAGATCCGGCTTGAATTAAAGTTCAGGTATGCCAAGTTTCAGCTCTCTATCACCAGCATGTTCGGAGCTATTGCGAAAAACCCTATGGGGGGCGGCATCCGCCTTTCCCCCCTCGGCCGGCGAGGGTTTCGCCTCTCTGGGAAAGATTCATTCGCACTGAGAGCGTTTCGACATTTTTGGACCAAGAGGCCCCCTTGCAACATGAACGTCATAAGGAAGTGTCAAGGATCAGAAACATTACCTGACATTAAAAACTGTTGGTGTCCAAACACCCTGATTGGATCAAAGGTCAGTTATACCAATTATTAGCTCTCTATCGCTAACGCGTTCCAAGCAATCGTGAGGCGTTGTATTTTCATGCATCTTCCGCCGCGGGGTGGGCGTTCACCCCGCGGGAGAAGATGCAGGAGTTTGGTGGGTGTTTTGCGTAATAAATCAATTGGCAAAATGAATACGTTTTAACCCTCGCCCTGGCAAGACATTTTCCATAACACGGCGTGGCAGGGGGCCAGGCCGTGACCCGTGTTGATGCTAACCCCTCCCCTCGCTATTGGCTCCTATGGCACCTAGAAATACCAAAAACCATTCGACTAGAAATACCATTCGACTCGGCTGTTCAAGAGGAACAGAATGATACCATTTTGAAAGCTTTAACTGTATTATGTGACAAGTTATTGGCACAAACGTCATTTGACCTCAGTTGACCTCACTTGACCTGACCCATGGATAAGTACACCAAACAAAGAAGCCCCAAGTGACATACTGTTAACCCGCGCCCCACTGGGGTCTGTGTATAACACGCCCTTCTGGGGGGGGGGGGGGGGCTATTCATAGCCCCCCCTCTTAACTCCGAAACTACTGGGCCGATCGTCAAAATTCAAACGGCGTCTGATAGCCCCGGAAAAACTGTCGAGCGAAACCTAATTTCATTGACCTCGAGGTCACCGATGACGTCACAGGTCAGGTCAAAGTAAAAATTATTAGCATTTTGGCTTGTTCACATTTTGGGCTCTGGCCGCCGTCTTACAAGTCAGATCGGGCTCATTTTTGGTTTCCACACTCGTGAACAGATGCTCTAGATACCTTGAGGGTACCAAACTTGTACTTTGATTTTCAGGTCAGGGTCAGGTCATCACAGGTCACGGAAATATTATGTCATGCGTCGGTCACGTGACACATGCTTTATGGTCCATTTAGGCCATAGATTTCGAATTTGATGTCGTCTGTGTCATTCGAGGTCATTTTGAGTCGAATTTAGCTTAGGTCAGGTCACTTTCAGGTCAAAAAAGGTCAAATTTTGAAGTTAATTTTTTTCAACAAAAAAGGTGTCTATTAGATGCAGTTTGAGCTCAGGAACACGATGGTGCCATTTATATTGGTGTACGATGTCAAATACGTGCTGAAAAATTGATTTGAAAAATTAATAATTGTGAATTTTTTGCAATAATGCGTATAACTTGGCCATTTTTGAAGATATTTAGCTAAAACTTGCTAGAGTTAGTCATAATCATACGTTCTGTCACATATTCTCTGGTTTTTTCGAAAAGTCAAAAACTTTTTGAAAAACATATAAAAATATAAATTTTGAATATTATTATATAAAATTTTCAAAATTTTCAAAATTTTGAAAATCCGAGATATCAGTTTGATAGCGCGGTCAATTCTGAGTCCATTCATGCAAAGAAATTGGATCTAGCTTAAAAACTGAGCTCTTGGGAGCGATTGCCGTGGTTCAATGTTTTGCGTCGAAATCGGACGAACATGACGTCACTCTGACGTCATTTCCGGCCGACCTATGGTAGCTACGAAGTTCAAATTTTGACACAAGGTGTCAAATTAATGCAGCCGAAGGTGCTGAAAGTTTGGCGTCGATCGGTCAAGCTATTTGGAAGCTATTGCTGAAAAACGGGAGGGGGGCTATAAATAGCCCCCCCAGTGGGGCGCGGGTTAAGTAGGACTGTGGTTTCAAAACACAAAAGTGATAAAACGATGCGGATATCTCCACTGTTTTCCGAATACGAATAGAACATTTTCCCATAAGCTTAACATTACGACGTAATGACCTCTAACTGACCTCAGGTCAGTGACATAGAAAAACGAACTATGTTATACAACTCGGTGAACTTAACACATCCTGGAAGTTTGAAGGAAATCAGTCCAAAACTGTGAGTTGGACAGGCGCGTAAAGAAAATTGAAATTTGACCATGACCTTGTACTGGTCTTTCTGACCTATTGACCTGACCCAAGGTCACTCCGGGACCTGGAATTTTCAGGTCATATGTAAAAAGGCTGCCCCATAGGCTGTGCCAAATTTGGCGGCGCTGCCCGTCGCCGTTACTACGCTATCTTTGAAAACCCTTAGGGGGTTGCATCAACCCCCTGCCAGGGCGAGGGATAATAAAACCGCTCATTTAGCGACAATCCTCCTCAAGATTGTCCTCGAGAGCATTTTTAGCTTAGGGGTGACTTGTCTCACTGTGCCCTACCTACGACTAGCGAGTATACTCTAAATGGATTCGGCCGCTCGTTACGGCACTTGCCATCTGCCAAATCCCTGCAGCTGAGATGGTCTATCGGACAATGGATGGCCTCTTACCGGAAAACGCAGCTACATTTATCACATTCAGGATGTGTGCTGCACGTGCGCTCGTGTAGGGACCGTTCCTACATCTCATGAGCGGCTGAGCTGATTGGGCTCATATTTGATAGATATTTAGTTGCCAATTGACCCACTATTGCGCTTGCTTGCTGCTGCAAAGACGTCTTCTTGTCTTGTGAGGTGTTCAGAAATGCCACCAAGCCAGTAGCGGCGGAACACCTTCAATTAAGGGGGCACTGCCGACTTTTGGTCCCAGTTCTTTCCATGCAACGCCCATAGGGCTAATGTTAAAATACCAAAATCAAAGGGGGGCACAGTGCCCCGGTGCCCTCCCCGTTCCGCCGCCTGTGTAGGTATGTAGGTACCAAGCACTTCTTTGTAGGACCCATTGATGTATCATTTCTTACGAATCAGAAATTCATATTTCACGACTCCGATTAAGGTCGTTCGGAGCATGTTGTTTTGTTTTTGTTTGACAACCATGTGAATGATGCATCCTGTGTAATCCTGTGTCGTCTACCAGTGGCCGTCAGTGCCAGTCCACTTCTGAGTAGGTAGTCTGTATATTGTCATGGTCTGTGCTGTGCTTGGCAATCTGTGTTGACTGTCTCAGTGCGGCACTCGGCAGTTTGAACCAGGGGTGCAGGGGAGACGCCCGCGGCCCGCCAGTCCTGTCGGTGCAGACTGCCTGTCTCGCAGTCGCTCCGAGCAGTGCGGGCAGGCCGCGCCTCACCGCGCCCCGGGAGCGGACGCCACTCACCGATATCTGCCATGGCCGCGGCGTCGCTCGGCGGGCGGAGCCGGCTGTCGGTGTCGTCACCATGAGCCGCTCACTGGCAGTCCGCGGCCGCAGCGCGCCGACACAGCGTCCCAGACACCGGCGGCGCGTCGGCCCGTCTACTGACCGCCGGCCGGGCGGCCGCCGCCGCCGCCGACGGCAGGGCGATCAATAGACGGCGAGCTGCCGCGGCCCGGCGGCCCGCCGCGCCGCCGACGGAACGCTGTTACAGTACATACATACCGGCCAGCAATGAAACAGTCCCGCCGTCGGGGCAGGCGCCAGGCAGGACGCGAGCGGTTCCCTGGACGGAAATGTTAAGTCTACAAACAATCAATTGTGTCAAGGCGACACTGTCCCTTCACAAATGTCCTCAGACTGGAAATGGCCGTATCTAAACTGGCACATGGAAAATGAGTCATTGAGCTCATTAATGGTGGCTCTTCCATTAGGTATTCCTAATAATAAAGTTCTAAAACTGGTTTTGAAGTACCTACGATTCATTTTATTCATGGAAAGGCACAAAAATGAAAAGGTATTACCTATAGGTACTGCACTTATTCCACGATCCTAGCTACTTATTGGTTGGTAGTTATTGATAGGTACTATACCTAGGTACCTAGGTACCTACCTACATAGACTTTAACGGACTCGGAATTCTATAGGCAGCGCACTGCCGGTAATTGCGTTTTTCTGCGAGGCTATCGCGCATTCAATTCTACGCTACTGTTGGGCAGCCAGGGGACGAGAACGGAATACAGGAACAGCAGGGCTGGGGCACCGATGTCAGTAGGACGGGGTCCTGCCAGAGAGGCGACGGACAAAATTTCGATACAACTGATTGTTTACACTTTAGTGGTGCGGAAGAAACACAGATAAACGAGACGACTCTCTCTCTCTCTCTCTTTCTCTCTCTCTCTCTCTCTCTCTCTCTCTCTCTCTCTCTCTCTCTCGCTCTCTCTCTCTCGCTCTCTCTTTTAGCACTCAGAAGATAAACGACAAAGAAAGCAGACAGATATCTCTTACCAAACTAATAAAAGCTACTACTTGGCATTCAAATAACTCCCTGGACACTATCATACCTATAAGGTTGCAAGGGACCGTACCTCGGGCGCCGGAACGGCATGGCTATCGCCTGTACGAGTAGGTACCTCAATCTCTGTGCCGTGGTAAGTGGTTCGGCATTTAAAGTTATCGCTCAGAATAAAAATGTGCGATGGTCACCTACAACTAATACTTTTATTGTCTGACCTTAAAGGAAGACTGCCACCTTCAAAAAGTTTTCTCAGATCGGCCTATGATTTATTCCCTGGACAAAACAAAATTTTAGAATTGACCTGACAAAGTATCATCACGTGAATCGCGAAAAAAATTGTCGATTATCATACAATTATCAATCGGTTAATGTCTAGCGACAATGTTTACACATCACTAGAATTCAAGGTCATAAGATTATTACATTTTATTTGAAAAAGTAAGGTATTTTATGATTTACTAATATATGATTTCATAAGAAATTGGCCATGTTTAATTTATTTTGCATTTAAGTTCGTAAAACATTTAAAAAATCATAGCTCATTTGGAATGGGTCTGGCCCATGTTAAACCCCATTTCCCACACTTTTTTGGAAAAAATGAACTACTGAATATATAAGTTTAACTTTTATTTTGATACTCCAAAATTCTTCTCTGATCTCGAAACAATCAAAGTTTTGACATATATTTACCAAAAGATAAGAAAATTCATGTTTCAAAGTTATCGATAAACAGTAGAGATGTCGGTTTTCTTGGACTAAAAAAATGGCATCAAACTGAACTTTGGTCTCCGATTTCTCGCAAACGGGTTCGAATTTCGGAAAACCGACTTCAGTCTGGGACATACCGGGTGTCCCAAAAGTAAGGTCATCATTTGTTTTGGCCACACTGCCAAAAATACGCGATGGATAGATATAAATAGGACATCATATGAAAGAGCATTTTATAAAAATTTTATTCTGACATACATATGAGTCAATACATTGGCTCGTAGCCCCACATTTGCTGCTTTTCTACATGGCTACCATTTCGGGCCGCGTGCATGAATAGACTACGTTTGACTTCCTCCACTATTCTGGAGCGATTCTCTGGTGAGATGCCGCCTATGTTTGCTCGAAGGGATCATCCTTTAGTTCTTCCCGGCTCGTTGGGTTGTCCTAAAAGACAATCTTTCCGTTGTGTATCCAGAGAATAAAAATATGAAGGTGTAACGTCAGGTGACCGCGGAGGCCATTCAATGGCGTTGCCCTGACTGAAAATTACGGGATCTCACATCCACTCTCGGAGACAATACATGATCTTCAGGACGGTGCAAGCATAGTCTCCATCCTGCTGAAACCACTGCTGGCTGATGGTGTCGGCACAGCTGCGTTGCGACGAGCGGAAGAACCACTGGGAGGACTCTCGGCCACCTCTCTTGATTTATTGTCACCCGATTCCCGCTGTCGTCCTCAGGACCTCGAAGCACAGGTGGATAAGTATACATGCCCTGTGCGTACATTATACCTTTTTTCTGACGTTTTACCGGTTGAGGCGAAACTATGCATGAGTTCAGAGATAGGGCGAGCTGATAGGGTCTGCTTAGGGCCGAAAACTGGGCGGTATTTACCCTTTGTTTTAATGACGGACCCTCTCTAAGAGTTGAATTTCGACCTTCTCAGTTTTATGCCTACTGCTCGGTGTAGTTATGATCAAAAATGGTTTAAGCATGCAAGAAAATAATTTTATGGATGTACCTTGCACGTGTTAAAATTGGAAGTGATTCGGACTCTTACCTCTCGAGATATTTAAGTTTTAAATCATGACCTTACTTTTGGGACACCCGGTAGGTGGCTCAGCTCTAGTGAAAACCGTTTTGTGAAAAAAAGGTGGCAGTCTACCTTTAACACTGCACACCTTGAGCGTTAAAGTCATGATGACGTTTCGTTGCCGCGACGATGATGGGAGGGACGGGCCACATTTGTTGGAGGATGTATGTCAATGCCTTATGCCTTGATACGACTGCCCCTCGGTCTCAGCTGTCCGGCCGCACAGGCCTCGTCCGGAGCGTTCGCTCGATTGCATCCGCGAGGCGTGGGCAGCGCCTACTCCCCTGTTCACCCAGGCAGATGTGTCGCCATTCAGCCGCGGTGACAGAGTCATTAGGCACTAGACAGCGCCCCGCCAGGTCCAGCGTCCAGTCTCGAGGCGGCTGTCTCCATCCGGCCGCGACTGGTACGGTATTGCGATACGACTGGTACGGTACCGCACTACGGCTGGTGCAGTATCGCACCACGGCTGGTACGGTATTGCGATACGACCGGTACGGTACCGCACCACGGCTGGTGCAGTAGGTACCTACTGCACCACGGCTGGTACGGTATTGCGATACGATTGGTACGGTACCGCACCAAGGCTGGTAAACTACTGCACCCGGCTGGTAAAATACTGAGCCACAGCTTGTACAATGCTGCGGGCTGGTATACTCGCGCACAGTATTTAGGTAATACGCCTGAGTGGTACTGCACTGCACTACGGCTGATTCGGTGGGTACTGTACCACGATGACTCACTTAGGCTCGCCAGCTGGTTGAGTCGGGTGTTTGGCCAGGACTCACCCTGTTTGAGTCGGGCTTTTCACCTCAGGCCTCTCGCTGTTTGAGCCGGGTTCTGGGGACCGGATGAAGTGCTCGGTCTCCCCCGTGGGCAAAAGTGAGGCGACAAACGTGCACCAGCTGTGGACCGGTCACAGGGGAGTAGCACGCAGTGCCTCCGCCACATCGGCCGCCTTCCCATGCAGCTCTGCCCCGGATCAGGCCGGTGGTACGGCACCAAGCAGCTCGGACTCGTGTGTCGTCTGCAGTGAGGAGGGAAATTGACACAAAACAGGGGCTATCGGGTCCGAGCTGCGCAGGCCTGCGCCGGAGGATGGTCGACAACATTTTCTTGGACTCTGCGGTCTGCGATTCTGTGGCTCTGCGATTGAGGTGGCAAAATGTTTAATGTGGACCCGAGGAACCGGGCTATTGAATTGGTCTGGACTTATATGGGTCCAGACCGGTATCTGATTTTGTTTTATTTGACGGGTCCAACCGGGTCATACCGTGAACCATTCTTCTTACTCACTACTTATGAAGTAGGTATAGGTGAAAGGAAAACCAGCTTTTGCTCATGTTGTGTTTTTTTTTTTGCGCATTGCAGCTCATAAGCACCTGATCCCATATGAAAAAGTCTGTTTTACTTGATACTTCCTAATGATTGTAGGTAGGTAGGTACCTACATAGGTTGTACCTATTCATATTGACTTAAGGGATCAACGGGTCTACCTGGTTCCGATTCTTACTTCGACCGGGTCCGGCTGGTTATAGAAATGTCCAGTCCAATCTCGTTCGAATCTGGTTCAAAAAATGTTTACCTTCGCGCACCTCTTCTCTGCGACGACCTCATCGTCGTGACCTCAACATTGGCCGGTTGGCCCGTGGCATGAGAGGCCGTCTGGAATCTGAAGAGTGAAGCCAGTGGCTGACCTACGACCCCAGATATACCCGGGTGGAGCAACATAAAGAAAGCACAGTGCTTGCTGCTTGCAGAATTACTCCGTCGTACCTACGCGTAAAATGAATTTTAGCAAGCTTTTAAAGGAAATAGTTCACTTTCACGAAATTATTTTTTTTTTGCAACGATTTATTATTTTTTATGTTCAAAATAATCAGCAAAGAAGATAAAACCTTTTTATAACAAAAGATTTTTTTTCTATATTTTGATATAGGAAGAACTTTTCAGTTTCTGTAAGGCACACGCGATCCAGTATGAAAAGAGCATGGGTCCCGAAAATTCTTCAGAAACAGAGAAATTATCGCAGCCACCGGCATTTGGGCGATCTGCTCGATCTGATAATGTTCCCCTGAATGTCCTAATTGATCAGTACGATAATTTCTCTAGAGTTCTCGTAGATAATTTCTCTAGTTTCTGAAGAATTTTCGGGACCCATGCTCTTTTCATACTGGATGGAAATATATGCAAGGCACACATCCTCAACGCAAGACACCTTTTTCGGGACGAGAAATAGAATATCTTTGCCTAGGGTGATCGTTGGGCTGTAAAAGCTCCTGATTTATGCTCGTCTCAGCCCAAGCTACGGAACTGCTATTCCAGTTCAAAACCCATGTTAAAAAGTGAACTATTTCCTTTAAACAATTGTTGTGGGGCTAAGAAATAAAAATCCAATTTAACAGTGCTAAGTGTAGAAGAAGGTGGTTGGAGCATCAAATCTCAAACTCAAATCTCAAATAATAGGCGCAACCCAGAACAGAAAATCTTTCAAAAGCCACCTATCTTAAAGCTGCTTTACTTTAAACGGTTTCGGAACGACTATTTATTCTTGGCAGTTGTTTAGACCGTTCAAAGGCTGTTCATGTCCCTTGCTGCGATGCTGCTCCTGCTCAAGGTCATATTTCTAGCTGCTGCTGACAAAACTAAAATCAGCACTGAGTCAAAGTGCTTGCGTGACATTTGACAAATTAATTGGAAAAATTCAAGTTTCTTCAAACTGAACTATAAATGGACAGTCATGAAGCATTAAAAAATATTTTGTAATGCAAAAATCTTTGTTTCCTTTCTTTGGGCTTCTCTGGCTGCAGGGAGGAGCAGATTAATGAGCAGCCAAAATACTTTTGATTCGCAAACTGGCGCACAAAGTACAAAACTTGCAGTAGCAAATCCGTCGAACTTTGCGAATGATGATTCATTACCATTCATTCCCATTCATTCCGAAGTTTTGAGTTATTGAATGGTTTCAGTGTTTGAGACCATTGCCTATCTGGCGTGAACTTACTGGTATTTGTTAAATACAGTGAGCCAGTTATAAGCCATGTCTCAATGGTTTCATAGAGGAGGTTTGAAGGCAACTGGTCATGTGAATTTCGATTTGAAACTGTTTGCATCAGAGCCTCAAGCACTGAAAATTTGCAGGTAAGTTGAATATAGGGTACTCTCTTAGCAGACGTCACCCCAATTGCCAGATCTAATGGCCAGTTGAAAAATCTAGAGACTTTTTGAAAAGTCTCTAAATGGGCAAGAAAATCACCCTAGGGGTCAATTAGGGGGCGGGGAACACGAATTTGACACTTATTTTGGCCTAACTCCCCTCCTTCATCCCTTAATCCTCCCTTAAAGGACGGGGGGCGTCAAAAGTGCCTCAAGGATTCGTCTGATCGCCAAAATAAGGGTCGCAATCGATTCCTCGCGTCAATATGTGGCCGCAGCCTCACGTTCCAGATGTGTGCAGCGTATCCCTTATCCCTTAATCGTCCCTTAAAGGACGGGGCACGTTAAAAGTGCCTGAAGGGTTCGTCTGATCGCCAAAATAAGGATAGCAATCGATTCCTCAGGTCAATATCTAGCCGTGGCCTCACGTTCGAGATGTGTGCAGACTGCAGCGTATTCCTTATTCCTTAATCGTCCCTTAAAGGACGGGGCGCGTCAAAAGTGCCTCGAGGCGTCGTCTGATCGCCAAAATAATGGTCGTAATCGATTCCTCGGGTTGATATATAGCCGCAGTTTTGGGTTTCAGATGTGTGGCACCGGTCCCTTACCCCTTAACCGCCCCTAAAAGGAAGGGGCGCGTCAAAAGTGGCTCAAGTCTTCGTCTGATCGCCAAAATAATGGTCGCAATCGATTCCTTGGGTCGATATCTAGCCGCAGTTTTGGGTTCCAGTCCAGATGTTTGGCACCGGTCCCTTACCCCTTAAATGCCCCTTAAATCGCGCCCCGTAGGGAGGGGGCGATCAGACGAACCCTTCAGGCACTTTTAACGCGCCCCGACCTTTAAGGGACGATTAAGGAATAAGGAATACGCTGCAGTCTGCACACATCTCGAACGTGAGGCCACGGCTAGATATTGACCTGAGGAATCGATTGCTATCCTTATTTTGGCGATCAGACGAACCCTTCAGGCACTTTAAACGTGCCCCGTCCTTTAAGGGACGATTAAGGGATAAGGGATACGCTGCACACATCTGGAACGTGAGGCTGCGGCCACATATTGACGCGAGGAATCGATTGCGACCCTTATTTTGGCGATCAGACGAATCCTTGAGGCACTTTTGACGCCCCCCGTCCTTTAAGGGAGGATTAAGGGATGAAGGAGGGGAGTTAGGCCAAAATAAGTGTCAAATTCGTGTTCCCCGCCCCCTAATTGACCCCTAGGGTGATTTTCTTGCCCATTTAGAGACTTTTCAAAAAGTCTCTAGATTTTTCAACTGGCCATTAGATCTGGCAATTGGGGTGACGTCTGCTAAGAGAGTACCGAATATAGTACTTGGCAATGACATAAAATAAAATTGAATTCGTTTTATCACAGTCTGAATTTAAATCGGACTGCAGTGATGTGGTCAGATATAATGTGGATTTTCCTTGGATTGAAGTGGCACAAGCCTGCATTATGAGTACCTATATATTAGGTCGGAGTGGCAATCTGATTATGAAATGCACACTATACAATGTGTTTTGACCTCCTGATTTCATATCTGATAGTGATTCATTCCAAGCCTGCCATCGGCACTGTGTTAAACTGCTTTGCTGGCTTCAACTGCTTTGGTTTAAACGTCTCGCTTATCAGCTAGACTTTTAAAAGATTTGTTCTACCTACTCGCGGTTTAATATATATTACATTGCAGTTTTCCATCACCGAAATGAAAAGTTCCCAGTTGCTTAGTAAAATTTATAAGTGTTGTTTGCTGTTAGCTGGAATGGATTTCCAGCTTGGTTGGTCACTTGGTGTAGGCTGGTGCAGAGTTGTCACCCTGGCTGGTGCTGCTTGTTGACTCTGCTGTCATCATTTGCAGTCTGGCAGGGCAGTTTTTTGTGATTTGAGTTTCTATCATGGCTGCCTAGGTCTGATATCCTTTTTCTTTAGAAATAATGCAGCTTATTTATTTCTAGGAAGATATGGAAAGGCAAGAGTTCAGTAGGTATGTCAATTTTAAAGAGGTCTTGTCTTGTTGCAGGCTACATCATTGCTGCAGACTTTTTGTTGTGAGCATGGTGCAGATTTTATGTGGGCATTGCACATTGCATCGCTCTGTCACTCCTGACCCCGCACCTTCCAGCGAGCTGCGCCAGGCGCGCCAGCGGCTGCTGGAGCTGCTGCCAGATGCCGGCCACGGCTCGGTGGAGCTGGAGTCGGCGCTCACCGCCTACCTGGCGCTCTTCACGGCCTTCCTGCAGGCACCCGACGAGCCGGGACAGGAGAGCAAACTGCGGCACGTGCTCCGATTCCGCTGGACGCACACGCTGCTCGGCAACACCCCCGAGTGAGTGGGCACCGGGCAGGCCGAGGGACCGCCGGGACAGAGGTCACGCAGGCCTGTTATCAGAGCCCTGTTCCGCCCAGTGACGGATTGTGTCTCGTCCTGCGGTGGACTGCTGCCCCATGACATACTGCACTCGGACGGACCGTTCGTCACTCTGCATGGACCCCGTGCCGCCCTGTCACGAACCATACCGCCCTGTCACGAACCACACCGCCCTGTCACGAACCATACCGCCCTGTCACGAACCATACCGCCCTGTCACGAACCATACCGCCATGTCACGAACCATACCGCCCTGTCACGAACCACACCGCCCTGTCACGAACCATACCGCCCTGTCACGAACCATACCGCCCTGTCACGAACCATACCGCCATGTCACGAACCATACCGCCCTGTCACGAACCATACCGCCCTGTCACGAACCATACCGCCCTGTCACGAACCATACCGCCCTGTCACGAACCATACCGCCCTGTCACGAACCATACCGCCCCGTGACGAACCATACCGCCCTTTGTTGGACGGCCCTGTATGGCCCTTAACAATCCTGTATCGCCCTGTGATGGACCATGTACGGTCTTTGACTTCGCCCTGACTAACCAGTAACCAATGCTGCCACTGGCTGCCGATGTCTGAGTTCGTTGTGCCGATGTGCGCGGCAGGGCTCGCCAGGATGCGGTGTTCGAAGTCGTCAGCATGTGTCAAAACGTGGCACTCTGGTACATGAAGCGCGCTGCCAGGATCGCTGGAAAGGAAGGGTGAGAAACTGGTGGGGCGTATCGTAAGAAGCTCCATCCCGCCGGGGTGGGTAGTACTGTACTTACGGAATGCTCACAGTATAGGCCAATGAAATGAAATGAAACCACCGCTGCCTGTCACCCGCCGGTCTGAGCTCGGCTCCGGTCTGACCTGTGGACGCCCGTGCCAGGATCACCATGGAGGATGCCAAGGAGGTCCACGGCAGCCTGCGGCGCGCCGCCGGACTCGTGAAGGCCGTCCACGACCGCTACATCGGTGAGCCGTCAGATGGCGGGCCGTCGGCGCAGCGAAACCTGCGCACCGGCCGCGGCGTCCGGCTCCAACTAAGAACCTGATCCATTGGGGCTTTTACTCTTGAACGTCAGCAAAATTAGTGGCATTTATGTCGTATGGGATAAGGAAGCGATGGTCAGTTTGGCGATGCATCGTATACGGTAGTGTCGCTAACGCTGGTCGTAGTGATGTATTGGGCTCTGTACTCGGGTGCGGTTCTGACCGTTTTTGTGTGTGTGTGATGTCGCCTTATGTCAGGTCAGCTGCAGGACGAACCGCTGAAGGAGGGCGACTGCGACACGCGTGTCATCACCGCCACCATCAACCAGTGCACCGCCGAGGCGCAGGAGGGTGAGTGTGACGTCACCGAGCCAAACAATGCATTGCCGAGGGTGGGTGTGACGTCACCCACCGACCCAGTGCACCGCCGAGGCGCAGGAGAGTGAGTGTGAGTGACGTCACCGAGCCAATGCACTGTCCTGTTTGTCAGTATTGTCCCGACCAGCAATCCGTCCCACCACGGCCCGGTGACCGGGACGTCCCCCATCCCCCCCCCGGCCCAGTGACCAGGACGTCCCCCCGGCCCGGTGACCAGGACGCCCCCATCCCCCCCGGCCCGGTGGTCGCTGACCCCTCGTTACTCCCGCGCAGTGACGATGGCTCGCGCCATCGAGCTGAAACACTCTGCGGGCCTGTGCTCGGCGCTGGCCCACGAGACGTCCAAGATGTTCACCACGGCAGCCGACGCCCTGCGCTCGCTGGACCCCAGCAAGGTGGAGCGCTGGAGCAAGTACCTGCAGCTCAAGGCGGCCGTCTACACCGCCTATGTGAGTGCCCCTCGCCAGGCCTCCAGACTGGTACACCACACACACTGCTCATCTGAGTCTCCTTACACAGATAAAGGAGTCCCTTAACGCCGAATACAGGAGCCTCTCCCAAACACTGGCTACAGGAATCCTAAGAGGTCTTCCCTTCCAAATAAGTTAATTCTTCGTCATAGTGTTGAATATCTTAGTAAACGTTCGTGAATCTCTATGGACACATTCACGCTGTACCAGAATGATCCATACCAGACATGTGCATGGATCAGCGTGATGGACCTATGATCTCAGTGGATCTCGAAGCAAACTGCAGGTGCGGATCTATGAACCCACCGGATTCGGCGTGAAAAAAATATCCTCGATCTATGATCTCACAGGATCTGATGATAAACCAAGAACATAGATCTATGATCTGAGTGGATCTCACCATGCACAACATTTGAAACTAAGTTTTCAAGTGTTTTTATGTCAGTAAGTGTCATAAAACTATGGCTTATGATGTGCTATCACATAAGTCACTAAATAAGAACGCTTGTGAGTAATTGCAACGAGTCAGTTTTTGGATTTCTGTGTTGACAAAAATAAATGATCTATGATCTCACTGGATCTCAAGCAAAAATATTAGACTCGGATCCATGATCCCTACGGATCTCTCGATAAATTAAGAACGGGATCTATGATCCCGACGGATCCGAGATCAGGATCACAAATGCCTTAGTTATTGACTGGTGTTTCCATTTCACCGACAGGCGTACAACTATCTGGGCGAAAACCTGCTGGCAGAGGACAAATGTGGAGAGGCCATTCGCTGTCTGCAGGAGAGCAAGAAATGTGAGCGTCTCTACATCGATCGTGCAGTAGTCATCGAATGCGTTTGTCCACATTCACTTGACCTGCCTTTATAAACTGTGCGTTATCTTCCCCGCGCGAGTTCCCGCCCCGCGGGTCCGAGCGGCTGTCCTGCCGCTGTACGTTACCTGACCGGTCTGCTCGGCGCGGCGTTTTCAGTTTACGGCGAGGCCGAGGAGCTGTGTAAACAGTACGCCACCGCCAAGGGAGTGGGCGCAAAGGTGAAGCCCGAGCGGCTGCTCTTCTTCAGGAAACTCGGCCCCGTCCTCAACCGGACGCTGGAGAAGTGCGAGCGGGAGAACGGCTTCATGTGAGTAGGTACCGAGCGGGAGAACGACTTCATGTGAGTAGGTACCGAGCGGGAGAACGGCTTCATGTGGGTATGTACCGAGCGGGAGAACGGCCTCATGTGAGTAGGTACCGAGCGGGAGAACGGCCTCATGTGAGTAGGTACCGAGCGGGAGAACGGCTTCATGTGAGTAGGTACCGAGCGGGAGAACGGCTTCATGTGAGTAGGTACCGAGTGGGAGAACGGCTTCATGTGAGTAGGTACCGAGTGGGAGAACGGCTTCATGTGAGTAGGTACCGAGCGGGAGAACGGCTTCATGTGAGTAGGTACCGAGTGGGAGAACGGCTTCATGTGAGTAGGTACCGAGCGGGAGAACGGCTTCATGTGAGTAGGTACCGAGTGGGAGAACGGCTTCATGTGAGTAGGTACCGAGCGGGAGAACGGCTTCATGTGAGTAGGTACCGAGTGGGAGAACGGCTTCATGTGAGTAGGTACCGAGCGGGAGAACGGCTTCATGTGAGTAGGTACCGAGCGGGAGAACGGCTTCATGTGAGTAGGTACCGAGCGGGAGAACGGCTTCATGTGAGTAGGTACCGAGCGGAAGAACGGCTTCATGTGAGTAGGTACCGAGCGGGAGAACGGCTTCATGTGAGTAGGTACCGAGCGGGAGAACGGCTTCATGTGAGTAGGTACCGAGCGGAAGAACGGCTTCATGTGAGAAGGTACCGAGTGGGAGAACGGCTTCATGTGAGTAGGTACCGAGCGGGAGAACGGCTTCATGTGAGTAGGTACCGAGCGGGAGAACGGCCTCATGTGAGTAGGTACCGAGCGGGAGAACGGCCTCATGTGAGTAGGTACCGAGCGGGAGAACGGCTTCATGTGAGTAGGTACCGAGCGGGAGAACGGCTTCATGTGAGTAGGTACCGAGCGGGAGAACGGCTTCATGTGAGTAGGTACCGAGCGGGAGAACGGCTTCATGTGAGTAGGTACCGAGCGGGAGAACGGCTTCATGTGAGTGGGTACCGAGCGGGAGAACGGCTTCATGTGAGTGGGTACCGAGCGGGAGAACGGCTTCATGTGAGTAGGTACCGAGCGGGAGAACGGCCTCATGTGAGTAGGTACCGAGCGGGAGAACGGCTTCATGTGAGTAGGTACCGAGCGGGAGAACGGCTTCAGGTGAGTAGGTACCGAGCGGGAGAACGGCTTCATGTGAGTAGGTACCGAGCGGGAGAACGGCTTCATGTGAGTAGGTACCGAGCGGGAGAACGGCTTCATGTGAGTAGGTACCGAGCGGGAGAACGGCTTCATGTGAGAAGGTACCGAGCGGGAGAACGGCTTCATGTGAGTAGGTGTCGAGCGGGAGAACGGCTTCATGTGAGTAGGTACCGAGCGGGAGAACGGCTTCATGTGAGTAGGTACCGAGCGGGAGAACGGCTTCATGTGAGTAGGTACCGAGCGGGAGAACGGCTTCATATGAGTAGGTACCAAATGTCGGGACTTTCCTGTGATACACGTACAAGTTACTGATCTCGCCATAAGATGCTGTCCTATCTTTAACAATATTTTCCCGAAACTATCCCAGCGCCGCCCGGTGGCTGCCGGGTGGGCGTTGCGCTTTCCATCCCCACTGTCTCTGGTGTCAGTGCCATCTGCGTGGCTGACGGGCGTGCGCTGCGCCTTCAGCTACCACCAGAAGGTGCCGTACGACGCGCCGCCGCTGGAGCTGCGCGACAACACGTACGGCCTGGTGGCGCCCGAGGAGTTCGGCATGCCGGCGCCGTCGCCGCTCTGGACGCCGGTCACGTTCGCCGCGTTCGACGTCAGCCGGCTGGGCGACCGGGCCGCCGACGCGGTAAGAGCTACACCCCGCAGCTCATCACTCTGTTCGAGTTGAGGGGCATGACTGCACGCACACTTGCTGTTGGAGATTGGCCATTTCGAGCATTCAACCTCCTTGTCTTATCAGTAAAAGTACGGAGGTGATATTTCGCATTTCCTGACTCACTGTGTGTCTGCGTTGTGCTGCCTCTGACGATCTGCCGTGGTTCGCAGAAGAAGGCGGCGGCAGCTGAGAAGGCCGAGGGCGATCTGCCGCCGGTCAAAGAGGTCAACGAGAATGACACCGACAAGGACCAGGACAACCACAGTGGGTGCGTGCTCTCCTAAACTGGCCCTCCCCTGCCCGTCGGTACCGGGGCCCGTGGGCATGGAGCCAGATGGAGCCAGTGCTGGCCTAACTACCCTACCCCTGCCCGGCGGTACCGGGGCCCGTGGGGATGGAGCCAGATGGAGCCAGTGCTGCGGGCGCGTGCTGGCCCAACTACCCTGTCCGGCTGTGCGGGGCCCGTGGGATGGAGCCAGTGCTGCGGGTGTGTTGGGGCCGACGCTCTCCTTCCCTCCCCGTGCTGCAGGCGCGGGTCTTGTAGGAACAGTTGGAGCAATTCAGAGGGGGCGTGGTAAATTACCAGAGATGGTGTGGCCGCTATACCAGCGCAGGTGCTGCGGGGTGGCCGCTACACGAGCGCAGGTGGGCACTGTGTGATCTTCTCTTCTTGGCGTGTTAATTCGGAGTTTAACCGCGTATCGAGTTCCGAAACCTACGCCACTTTTAATAATCAGTATTCTTGGATACATGCCAGCCTGAAAGTAAGGACGCTGTCTTGATCTGTGAACATTCATCGGGATGCCTTTTCAATGGGATATTTGGCGTTGCACCCTCGCCCCGTTGGGGGGGGGGCCATTTTGGCCCCCCTGTGGTTTTTCCTGAATAGCAAGAAAACGGCGGCGCGCAGCGCCGCCAAATTTTCAGTACCTTCCTGGGCATCAATTTGACACCTTCACACCAAATTTCAAGTCTTAGGTCACCTTAGGTCAAGAGTTATTGAGGTCAAACTGAGGTCATGTTCGAGCAAAAATGAGCAAAAAACATGCAATCTTGAAACGCTCACCAAATCTACACTTATCAAGCAATTTCAAAGTTCTTTATATGGTCTAGTAGACAAAAAGCGGCGCTACAAAACTGCTATCTCGGATTTTCAAATTTTTTGGAAAAAAATTCAAAAAATTGATTTTTTTAGAAAAACTTTGAAAAAATCCAAAATTTTTCCGAATTTCGAAAAAACGGAATATATGTGATAGTCCCAGCGCTCTTCTATATACATACCAAATTTCAGATCGATATCTCGTTTTTTGGCCAAGTTATAGCGAAAAAAACTGTTCAAAAATCATGACGTCAAATTTTTGAACTCAATTTTTAGCGATTCTAGACATCGAACGGCAAAACAAAGACCACCATTGAACTCCCCGTGACGAGCTGCATCGATTCGATACCAATTTTATGCAAAAATACCAACTTTGAAATTTGACCTAATTTGACCTGACCTTGACCTGACCTTGACCTGACCTTGACCTGACCTTGACCAAAACGTGACCTAAGCTGGCTCCAAAGGCTGCCTGACCCACATAATCGCATTTGTCATGTAAAATGGACCATAAAACATGTATCACACGATACTTTCATATTGTGACCCCCCAGTGACCTGACCTCTGTGACCTGACCTGGTATCAGTGACCTTAACTAGCAAAATATGTGTTTGAAGAACATTTCCCCATCGATGATTTTCAATGAAATGCATTTTACTCGATTTTACAACGCATTTCTTGAAATGCCTGTAAACGGTGAAAATTGGACCTTGGACCTGACCTGTGACGTCATCGGTTTGACCTAGGTCAATAAAATTGGGTCACAAGGTAGTTCCCTGATAGGGCTATCCAACACCGTTTGCCGCTTGTCGCTAGGTTGCGTGGTTCTCGAGATCTTAGGGGGGGGGGGGGCAAAATGCCCCCCCCCCCCAACGGGGCGCGTTGCTCGGCAGAGCCCAACGGGGCGCGGGTTAAATTTCTGTACTGACTAGTCAAAAATGGAGGTGATTTCGGTCGTTGTCTCGGTATTCTGCCATAAGCCGCCGGGGCCTTTGGGGTGCACCCTGAGTGTTGCGACGAGCGACAGGCGGCCGGGTATGGACCCCGACGCATCCACGGCCGTCGCTGGTGTGAGTGTAGGTGAGAATGTATGTGAGAGTGTGAGTGAGAGTGTGAGTGTGTCCTGTCGCCGTCCTGTCCCGCTGAGCTGCGCGCTGCTCAGTGACGGCTTGGTGGTTAGCTACCATATTTTCGCTACACGCTATATGAGATATATCCACTCTGCTAGACTAGTCGCGTGAGTAATACGCGCAGGTACCATATAATAGCTTGTATAGGTGCTGAACGCGTGTGTAGACTAGATGTGACTGTCTTCACCGTCACGGCTCCGTCTTAGCCGTGTCGATGCTTACTTTGATCGGCCAAGTAGTACAGTCCACAGCAGAAGTAATGTGTGGTTTCAGTCATGGGTATGTTCTGCTTCTGAAGCTTAGGAACGATTAGCCAGACTACAATGAAACTTTGAATATAGCTTATATGTATCGTCACCCTTGCAGCTGCAACTTTAGCTATTGACATCTTCTTTTCGATCACTCCGCATTAAACAATCGCCTGTCAAAGCCAACCGTTGAGATTGGTAAAACCCTACATTACTTTAGCGGTGGGCTGTACCTAGTTAGTGCATGTTACTGGGCGATGTGCGCGTTTTCCACAACCCTCGCCTCTCATTGCACCGACTCTCGTTACTAAGATCCTTATAAGGAACTGAAGTGTTATTTACTCAGCCACACGCTGTTAATTGCTTGTTACCTGGCTGAAGCATTTCTCTGCTGCCGCGTGTAGTGTTTTCCGTACCGTTCTGCGGAGCTTGGGTGGAATTTTGTTCGTAATAATATCTCTCTGGAGACGTGCAGCCTGGGTGCTACTTTGACGGGGCAGTGTAACCGATCATACAGGTAAAGGTAGACGCTGGTACTATGTGAGGCTACTGGTCAACAAATAGTGCGTCAATGTGGACGGTAGCAAACACCGGGGAGCGCAGAGGTGTCACCGAGGCAGGTGCCACTCTTTTCAGTTTTGGCGTTGAGATGCTCTAATCCAGCCCTGTCGTGGGTAGGTGTGTTGTTATAATGTGTAGACATTGGGGTGGGCCGCGGCGCCCCTAGTGCGCTACTCGATTCTAGCCGCTGCGGCGGCTGCAGTTGCACGCTGAACACTGGGCCGCTGGTGGTCGTGCCGGCTGATTAACTGGAGGGACGATTCTGCCGTCCAGCAGCGTATCGCCGCCACCCATTGTCCGTGAATAATCCCCTCCTCCATCAGCGTGGACGAACTTTAGCGCGGCGTGCCTTCACCTAAACATGCCACCATACATATGCATGCCCGACGGTGTTAGCACATGTGATGGACCGATGTTCGGGTCGGTGTCTCAGCAAGAGTCGCACCAGTCGTTCTTGTTCGCTCGGCGCCCGATATGAGTGAAGTTTATTAATACTGAATACATGAGCCGCTGTTTCAACGTGTGATTTATTTGGTATAACCTCATTTCTGAATGGAAAGCTGCGATGTGCGTCAAGTCGTGCTCTGCAAAAGAAGTTCGTCTAAGTTTGCAAAAAAAAAAAAAAACATGCACAAGCTGTGGATTAGGGCGAAACCGTCACGTCACCAGCAAAACTTCATTTGTAGGAAACGGTCCTGCCGATCCGTTTGCGGCGATGTGGAGCAACTGAGGTGTGTCCTCGGCCGCCCCCGGCCGGCGCCACCGGGTGGGCCGGGCGATACTGAGGCCGATACACGGAGATGGCCCTCCTGATAGCTCCGGCGGCACGCGTCGGACACACCCGGGCCGAGAGACGGAGACGGGAGGACAGAGAGACGGCGGCACGCGACGGACACACCTGGTACGAGAGACTGCTGGGAGGCGGGAGGACAGAGAGACAGACGGGAGACTAAGACGGACGGCAGGACGGAGATATCCGAGGAAAGAGATAGGGAGGTAGCACCGAGATGTGGTACCGCCCCTGGTCCCGCCGGCCCCTGGTCGTCAGTTGGTGCCGCCCCTGGTCCCGCCGGCCCCTGGTAGTCAGTTGGCACCGCCCCTGGTCCCGCCGGCCCCTGGTAGTCATTTGGTGCCGCCCCTGGTCCCGCCGGCCCCTGGTAGTCATTTGGTGCCGCCCCTGGTCCCGCCGGCCCCTGGTCGTCAGTTGGTGCCGCCCCTGGTCCCGCCGGCCCCTGGTCGTCAGTTGGTGCCGCCCCTGGTCCCGCCGGCCCCTGGTAGTCAGTTGGTACCGCCCGTGGTCCCGCCGGCCCCTGGTAGTCATTTGGTACCGCCCCTGGTCCCGCCGGCCCCTGGTAGTCAGTTGATACTGCCCCTGGTCCCGCCGGCCCCTGGTCGTCAGTTGGTACCGCCCCTGGTCCCGCCGGCCCCTGGTAGTCATTTGGTGCCGCCCCTGGTCCCGCCGGCCCCTGGTAGTCATTTGGTACCGCCCCTGGTCCCGCCGGCCCCTGGTAGTCAGTTGATACTGCCCCTGGTCCCGCCGGCCCCTGGTAGTCAGTTGGTACCGCCCGTGGTCCCGCCGGCCCCTGGTCGTCAGTTGGTACCGCCCCTGGTCCCGCCGGCCCCTGGTAGTCAGTTGATACTGCCCCTGGTCCCGCCGGCCCCTGGTAGTCATTTGGTACCGCCCCTGGTCCCGCCGGCCCCTGGTAGTCAGTTGATACTGCCCCTGGTCCCGCCGGCCCCTGGTAGTCATTTGGTGCCGCCCCTGGTCCCGCCGGCCCCTGGTAGTCAGTTGGTACCGCCCGTGGTCCCGCCGGCCCCTGGTAGTCAGTTGGTACCGCCCGTGGTCCCGCCGGCCCCTGGTAGTCAGTTGGTGCCGCCCCTGGCCCTGTCTCTGTCCCTGTTTCCCCGCCACCGACCGGGCCGGGCCGTGGCGGCGCGCGCTCTTGCACAAACGCGCTGGGAATGCAGTACCGTGGGAGCTAACGGAGCGCGTTTTATCGGCTCATGTCGCCTGCAGCGGCCGACTGCCGGCGTGAAACCGCCGCCGGTGCCGCCGTGTGAGCCGCCGGGCCGGGCCATTGACGGCCGATTTACGCCACCCGGACCGACCGCGGCGCCGCTGTGTGCAACAGGCGCCAGTGCGTCTCACCAGGCTGTGCACACTGCACACGAGTGGCCACTGGCTCACCGCGGCCGGGGCCAGGCCGGCACACGGCGCGATGTTGTGGACTTTTTGGAATTCATGTGCTTGTCGGGCCTCCTATTGAATGGGAGTTGGAAAGCTGACCTTTATTCGCCTATCTCATTAGGCACAGTGAAAAATAAGGGAACATTTTTTTTTTTTAATACCTCATTCGGTTGATAATAACAAGTAAAACCTTCTATAGGACAGCGGAAACGCACGATTATGTATCTCATATCACATAGGATGAAGCCCAAGCACGGCAACAAGTAGGTGTGTAGACAAACAAGTAGTTGGTGAAGTTGGTATGTGTGAAAGAATAACGAAAAAAATGTCGGTATTCTCCGAGAAGGTGCAAATGACAAACTATTCTTTTGTCAAAACTCAAAACTAACAGTCTGCCGCTCAGCCCTGTGGTGAAGACTACAGTCTGCCGCTCAGACCGGTGGTGCGGACTGCAGTCTGCCGCTCAGACCGGTGGTGCGGACTGCAGTCTGCCGCTCAGACCGGTGGTGCGGACTGCAGTCTGCCGTTCAGACCGGTGGTGCGGACTGCAGTCTGCCGTTCAGACCGGTGGTGCGGACTGCAGTCTGCTGCTCAGACCGGTGGTGCGGACTGCAGTCTGCCTCTCAGACCGGTGGTGCGGACTGCAGTCTGCCGTTCAGCCCGGTGGCGAGGGGCGATGTAAATCGGGGTGAGTCGGGGAGATGACGGTTATCGGTAGCTCTCGGTCTCGGGCGGCTTCTGTCGGTAATGCTCCGGCCATAGGCGGCGGAACGGGGAGGGCACCGGGGCGCCGTGCCCCCCTTTGATTTTGGGATTTTAACATTAGCCCTATGGGCGTTGCATGGAATGTGGGATCAAAAGTCGGCAGTGCCCCCCCCCCCCTGATTGAGGAAGCTCCGCCGCTACTGGTGCTCCCGGCTCCTGTCGTTAGTACTCCCGGCTCATGTCCGTTGTACTCCCGGCTCCTGTCGGTAGTACTCCCGGCTCCTGTCGGTAGTACTCCCGGCACCTGTCGGTATAGTACTCTCGGTTCTTGTCCGTAGTGTTCCCGCACCTGTCGGTAGTGCTCCCGCCTCCTGTCGGTAGTACTCCCGGTTCTTGTCCGCAATGCTCCCGGCACCTGTCCGTAGTGCTCCCGGCATCTGTCCGTAGTACGCACCTGTCGGTAGTACTCCCGGCTCTTGTAGTACTCCCGGCACCTGTCTGTAATGCTCCTGGCTCCTGTCGGTAGTACTCCCGGCTCCTGTCGGTAGTACTCTCAGCTCCTGTCGGTAGTACTCCCGGCTCCTGTCGGTAGTACTCTCAGCTCCTGTCGGTAGTACTCCCGGCAGTCCTGTCGGTAGTACTCTCAGCTCCTGTCGCTAGTACTCCCGGCTCCTGTCGGTAGTACTCCCGGCTCCTGTCCGTAGTACTCCTGGCTCCTCTTGGTAGTACTCCCGGCACCTGTCGGTAGAACTCCCGGCACCTTTAAGTGGTATGTACTCCGCGGCTCCGGACGGTGAAAGTGACGTGCGCCGTGCCGCGTCCGCGGCGACGCTCGGCGCCGCCCAGAACGCGTTACGAGTCGTGGCCGTGAGCTGGCCGTGGCGCGCCTTCTGACTTGTCCTGACCTGACCTGACCCACCGGCCAGGTCAGCGAGGTCTGACCTGATATCCTGATCTCTATTGGTGTGAACTCGAACCCGGTAGCCATTGTTGGCTGTGAGAAATGCCTGGGACATGGTTCTGTTGCCATCTTCATCAACAAGTAAGTGATAATGAGGCTTCTTGGAAGTCCAAAGAATTCGATCCACTGAATCCCTAGTCGCCAGGCCTCTCATCAGTGAGTGATTTCCTAGATCCGCCAACGCTGGTCCTAGATCTCTCACCACTCGTCTCCACTCGTGCTGTGTCGCCGCTCGCGCCGTGACCCAGGTCGTGCCGTGTACCTCGGGCCCCTCCGTGAACTGCGTGCGTGCGTCAGAAGTGCTCGGGAGACGGCCGCAGCCAGCCGCGTGCGCTGATAATCGCCGCCTTTATCGCCGCTTACGAGAGCGCCGGGCCGGGTGGTGGCGGCGCGCGGGCCCGCCGGTCGGCAGTGCGGTCGGGCGGCGCGTGCAGACCAGAGTGGGGGCAGGTCACGCCGCTCAGCAGCCGACGGACGGACGCTCCGAGCGGTGCAGCCGCGGACGGATAGCCCATAGGCTCCAGATTGTCGGTGGGAGCGGCGGCGGCCTGACCCAGCAGTGACCTGACCGAAACGGAGACGGCTCCGCCGAGCTGAGCTGGAGCTGGGAGGGCGCCGAGTGAGCCATGTGACAGTGATCCGGTGTGAGGCTGGTGTGAGCCGGTGGCCTCTGCCGCGGGAGATGAAGAGCCGGCGCCGGCGCGGCGGCGGCGTGGGGACCTGGCATTCGGAGGACGGTGTCCACCTGGGCGTCCCGCCGACCCGGTACGGCGCGCCCCCGGCGGCCGCGGACGGCGGCGGCCGGCTGCCGCGCTGCCAGTCCTCCGAGGACGTGTCCTCCGGGCGGCGGTCCTCCGGGGACGCGGCCTCCCGCTGCCGGCGGACCCAGTTCCGGCTGCGGCCGCTGGCGCCCGCCTCCTCGGTGGGCCAGCTGGACCGACTGCAGGGAGGCCGTCCGGCCGCCGGAGCCGCTGCCGAGCCGGCGGCCGGAGGGGGCGACGCGCAGCACTGGGCGCGCGGCTCGGCCGAGGAGCGCAGGCGGCTCTTCCAGCGGCGCCGGGCGCGCTGGGAGCCGGAGCCGGCGGCGCGCCAGGCAGCAGCTCCCGGACCGGGGCCGACGGTCGAGCGGCAGGATGTGACGACCGCGGCCAATTGTGTCGGATTGAGCACCAAGGGCGGCGGAGAGGGTCTCGCAAAGCACCCGGCCGGCCAGAATGGCGCCGCGCCGGAGCCGGGAGGAACCGTCGGGGTGAGCGTCCTGCTGCAGAGCTGGATGGAGAGGTTGGAGTGGCTCTCACTGCAGCAGCGGCGCGAGGAGATGGAGGGCTCCACCACTGCGGCGGACGGGGAGGCGGCCGGTGACGTGCCCTCGGACCCGCCCTCCGCTCCGGCGACGCCTCCGACGCCGACGGGCGACTGGGTGCCGACGTTCGTGGTGTCGGACTGCAGCGGCCGCTCGTGGCCGGCGCCGTGGTCCGAGCTGCTGGCCTCCGGGGGCGGCGGCGGCGGCCGCCGGCTGTCGGCCGTCTCCGACTGCAGCACGGTCAGCTCAGCCGGCTGGGACCGCAGCCGGCGCGGCTCGCTGCTCGACCTGGACACCGAGGGACTCCGGCTGGACGACGACGGGCGGCTGGAGCGCGCCGCCACGCACCACAGCTCCGAGATGCAGCCGCGCGACGGCCCAGCGGCGGCCAACGGTCAACTAGGAACTGAGATCGATCCCGGGACGATCCCTGGACCGGAGGAAGGTCTCGGGACGATCTCCGGCCTGGAGGACGGTCTCGGGACGACCTCAGGCCTGGAGGACGGTCTCAGGACGACCTCAGGCCTGGAGGACGGGCTCGGGACGATCTCCGGCCCGGGAGACGGCCGGCGGAGGAGTGCGGAGACGAGTCGCAAGATCTCCAGCTGGTCGTACAGCAGCGTCAGCACGCTCAGCCAGGACGAGGAGGAGGAGCCGCGGACCGCCGGTCCGACACCCGGCGCGGTGAGTGTGACGTCAGGCCCGCACCCGGTGACGTCAGACCCGCCCCCCAGCGCGCTGATCACCGGTGTCGGTGCCGCTAGTGGCTGCCTGCTGACACAGTGCTGTTGCTGAACCCGAGGCCGTGAATCGTTTGCCTGTTCCGCACGCTCCTCACGGACCAATCACCGGGTGGCTCGTCGTATCTCCCACAAACCGTTGCGTCACCGCTGTAATTAGGCTCCATCAGTCGGCGGCTGCCGTGCCACGACTCGCAGAGAGCCATTCGGACGGCGCTGCCCAATGTCCATATAAGGCAAATGAAGTTATTGTGATGAGTCCCAAACATAGCCATTGTACATCCGTAACACTTCTGGTAAGAAACGCTTTCAAAGTCCCTTTTAACGCCTTGATTGATCCAAAACACCTCGTACCGGGACGGCTGGGACCACTTCTGCGCCTGCCATCTATCGGGCAGTGTTTGGAACTACAGCGGGCGCCGGCCGGCCGCGCCGCGCGGCGCCGTTACCGGGCTATGGAGGCGAATGAAGTGGTATAAAACCAGACGAATTTTACGCTTGTAAAGCAAAAAACGAAAAATGTACACTCACCACAGTGTTCAGCAAAGTACTGGGAACAATATGGATATAATTTAAAGCTAGTACGATGCGAACTGTTGGTTCCCAAGAGCAGTATTTACATACTTGTAGGAGATAGGACTTTAACATTACGGGAGCTTCTAAACTGCGCTCGCAAAGTACTTGATTGTAAATATTTCCATTTAGAGGCAAAAATCTAAAAATGTACAGTCAGAGCGTTGTTCCCAATGCTTCTAGGTACACAATGAGCATAAATTTAGCTCGAAATGTCATCACACATTGGTTCCCAGTCCAGTTTAAAACGACACTTTGTGCCGCAGAGCCTATCTCTTCCAATGGATGGCGGCTGGGTGGCGGTTGTAGTGGTGGACAAGACAATTCTTGAGTGAAATGAAATCATTTGCTTTCAAAGAATAAATTTGAAGAACTTGTAATAATTGACAAAAGATCGTTAATTACAGTGTATAATTTCAAGTTCATGGCAAATGAAAATATTTTAAACAATGCTAGTGAACCCCAGTACCGCCGCGCGAGAAAGCAAGTACTCGACGCACGGTCTGCCCGCCACTTCTGAAAATGGTCCGCGGCCGGCCGGCCGCGACCCGACACGTATCGACAGGGACATGATTTATTTGATAGTGCATCATCAGTATGCTTATCATCCATTGCACCCTTCCTGTAATGCCTATATCGGGCAATTTCTGGTTCAGGACCGATTGATAAAGGCCTGCGCCTTCGAACATTCGACAGCCACACACTCTGGTCCGGGGCGGCTCGCTAGAACGGCTGAGGCTGGGCAGCCTCACGGTCTTTTTTTCTTAAGTAGGTACCTACAGCAAATTACATTAGGAACTGAAGTAAAGTATGTTTCACGTGCATTAGCTTATAAGGAATAGATTATGTTTCGCACGAGTTACGGCGCAGTTGGCATGGTATTTGTTTGGTGAGTCTAGGACTTACCTTGAGCTTCACGTTTCTCGGACGTTGTTTTAATCATCACGAAATGCAAAAGTCACGAATCGCAGTCAGCCAGGCTATGTTCAGGATTGCTCACATATCAAAGAGACAGGTGCATCTACATTCTACGGAATGTACCTGTGTGTAGGTAAATGCTAGGCCATAGGCGCGGGAGCCGGGGGGGCAGTGGGGGCAGCTTGCCCCCCCAACTCTGGGGCCGTGGGGGCGGTGCCCCCACAGCTTTGAGACGGAATACCACACTTTTTTTGCAAATGTTTTCTTTTTTTGTTGAAAAAGGCCGAGGGGTGAAAAATAGGTAAGTGGCCTAAAACCGGTGAGAAAACTAGATTTGGGGTACCCTAGGTTAATCTCTATTATGGTGTGCCCCCCCCCCCCAGTCGGAAAGTAGTTCCCGCGCCCCTGTGCTAGGCCCAGTCATTCGCAGTATATACTCAGGTGCGGGCATGCTGTCGGGGCTAGGCTGCAGCCAGTCAGTGAACTACCATTATATCACGACCCTTTAAACATCGCTTCGGCTCGTAGCGTGCTCAACAGCCGAATAACCAGGAAAAGGCCGTAAGACAGATCGTCTTCCCACCAAATATCCGTGGCGGAGTCCCTTGGAGAATTGAGCGAGACATTGGTCACCAGGCTGTGGGAATTCGGTTGGTGCAATTGGCCGGAAAAGCCCCGTTGACACGGGAGCGTCCCGATGGAACAGCCGCCATGTGTATTCAAGAGGTCACTCCGGAACGGTTTGCTCCTTCTGGAGTTGACCCACCACTGCAGGCCAATGCCAACAGGAGTGCAACAGACAGCCACCTGTAGCATTACCTGGCGGTGGGACCGTCAGCCCGGGCAGGGTATATGTGAGCACTGAGGAAGGGTGCGGAAGGGTTTATTCGATGCATTTGTTGCTGAATGTAATTAGTTTCTGACGGTGCTCTGTAATTCTGTATGTCAGTCAGTAACCGACATTGGTGAGGACGTCGCCGGCCTGTCCGACTCGTTTATTTGCGGTTCTGACCGAGATAATGCGCCGTCGTTCCGCCGCCAGCGGCTCGGCCGCCACCCTCTCGGCCACACACCGCGCCGGCTGAAGGCGAGGGGATGGCGCACCGCCGACCGCTGACACACGGCCGCCTCTCGTGTGCCGGTCGCCCTAAAACTGAATCACGGTGGCCACCGGAGAGACCCGGGACCATCCCCGTGCCGTATAAGGCGGTGGGTCTCCTGACCCGTCCCCGGCCACCGCAGAGGCTGTACCGGCCGGCGGCGGCGGCGCCGACCCGCTGCCGGAGGCCGTACTCCAATCAGCAGTCTGCGTTGCGCGCCGCGCCGCCGCCGGCAGGGCTGCCACCTGGCCGCCGGGCGGTGGCGGCGCGGCGCCTCCTCCTGGTGGCCCTCCGGTCCCGGCGGCGGCGGCTCGTCAGGTGCCGACGGCAGCCGCCCAATCATTGCCGCTCGTACGGGCGGCGCACGTGGAGGCGGTACGGCGCGTGAATCAGTCGGCGCCCGGGCTCGGGGTCAGCCTCGTTATCGCGCGGTGGGCGGCCCCAGGGGCGCCGCGCGCGTGCCGACGTGTGTGTTTTTGGCTGGTGCTGCGAGCGGTGTCACCGTCCGGCGACCGTCACAGCCAGGGTGGCGACATTGGGGAGCGGACTGTGTGCCGAGCGGGACTGTCTGCTGAGTGCAGTGCAGAGCGGGGCGGACTGAGGAGCGGGGCGGACTGTGTCGGCGGAGCGCGGGATGTCGGACGCGGCGGCCGGCGGCGGGTACGAGGACTACGGCCGCCAGCTGCCGTTCGGCTCCCAGATGGACTACGGAGAGGCGTCCAGCGACGACCTCAGCTCCGACTGGGAGGACGCCGAGGAGCCCGAGCGCCAGCAGACGCCCGCCAAGGTCGGTGCGCCGCCACGCCCCGATCCCCGGCAGAGGGGCCGACAGCGGGGCAGGGCGACCCGGACGACGGGACCCGGCGGGCGGCGACGACCCGGCGAGAGGGTCCTGCTCCTGAGTCTCTGTGACCCGTAATTAACCACTAGGGGACGGGTTTTATGTCAGCCCAGGGGGTTTATCCCTTAAACCCCCTATGGGAGAACCCTGTAAGACCCCTGAGTGACGGGCCATGTCTCACCCCTGGGGACAGACAGACAGAATTATGTGACGTCACACGGAACTCTGTGACCTCCGAATGACGGGCGCCCGAGGGCACTAGCGCATGCAGCTGGGTGTAAGGGTATAGGGTATCTCGTTACCGATGGCTAACAACCGATGCTGCTAACAACCAAAAAATGCAAAAAATGATAGAGACAACCGGCACATTTCGACAGACATGTCACCAGGCTGCATGTAAATGAGGGAACACTTCCCTCCCAAATTTCTAGTGATACCTATAAGAAATCTGAAATTGATTACTTATTGCTTGAGTGCAGAGCAATGGCATTGGCTGCTCTCCCAGTTTAAAGGGACCCTCCCGGCTCCCACCTTCAACAAGTTAATGAATTGGCATGAAAGTGATGTCGCTCAGTTCAGAAAGAGCGAAAACGAATATCTACCAAATTTCATCGGAAAATACTCACCGGTTTTCAAGATATTAAACTTTTACTTTTGTTTACTTTTTGGGATCTCCGCTGTTCCTAGCGACTTTATTTGAAAGTGTAGCACTTGTTGCGCGCAAAGCAGGCGTGCTACCAAACGTTTTAGTAAAAGATTTAAAATCACTAGGTCTGCGCTGAGCTCACACATTCAGAGGGGGCATTCTAATGCATTAGCCCCTCTGAATCCAAGTGCTGCAACTTTGAACTTATATATTTTTGATTTGAGGCATTTCTCGATCTTGTGAGTGCTCAAACCGGTAAGTGCAAGCCAGGGACATCCTTCTGGCTATCTCAACTTAAAACTAATGTTAAGGTGAGATGGTCACTTTAATAACCTCCTCACTATGTATCATGATTTTTACCAATAATGAGTGTTAAATATGAGCTAAACTGCCCGTACTTTCAATACGAGACATCCCAAATATGCTGACCAGAAACACCTATATGTAATCCTGAAAAAGACGGCTATTTCCTGGAAATAGTTCCGCCGTGCAAATATTTGTCATTTAACTGCAATACGCTGACAAGAAAATACACGGACGCGGCAGGTGAACAACAAACAGGCCACCAAGGCCCTATATACCCAGGCCACTGTTACACGGCGGCGGAACGGGCAGCACACAGGCCCGCCGCCCCGGCCAGCGCGGCGCCGTGCTGGAACTAAAACCGGGCTGCTGATGCGGCCCACCGTTTATCAACTGCGTCTCATCCTATGTAGGCAGAGTCGATAAAACACGCGTTTATTTTGTTATCTTTTCCCGGGCGTTCGAGCCATCAGTATCAACATCCGCGTACTGGCTGGGACCAGCTCCTACTGTCGCGGGTATCGTTGTGCCTATCGAGGGCACGGGTCGCCTCGGCACTCGGT